CTTGATTAGGTTTCCTTGAAGATACGCACTTCCTATAACACCTGGAGGCCTGGGATGTCCCCTTGTCCTGTCAGCCTTATCCTTTCATGATCAAGTTCCCCATCAGCCTTCCTTCACCTGACGGTTTTAGCAGCCACCGCTTATCATTGCCCAAAATGATCCTTGATTTCATCAGGCTGAAAATGGTGATTTTCTAGTTCTATCAAGAACTTCTCCCTCATCAACTATTGATCACCTGAAATACAGTTTGTACTAGAGAAGCAAGTTTCTTATTTGGAATACTTTTGAGCTTTTGTAAAATTAAAAGTTGACAAAAAAAAAAAGAATAATAGAAAACAGTGGCAATTAGAAACTTGTTGCATCTTTTTTCCCAGCCAAAGCAGGTAGCTCTGAAATAACAAAAGCAAATGGGCTAGAGATATGAAGACTTTTCTGTGAACTACCTAACTACACTCAATTAATAAAACTCAAAACCTTTTTATTTTTGCATCCCCACTTTTGTATTTAGAAATGAATCTACATGCTCTCTTTCTTACAGAGAACATCCCAATAAAGAACGCGTGGGTCTCAGTAAAGAAAATTTATTACTGAGAGGATGCACCATTAGAAACACAGAGGCTGTTGTGGGCATTGTAGTTTATGCAGGTTGGTTACACTTCTTATTTTTCACTATTGTCTCTTCTGTACTTTTCTACAAGTTAACATTTTCTACTTACTCAAAATGCAATCTACGAAAGCAGGAAAAAAAATTTTGTCTTGATAAGTTTAATCACCAGTTTCTGTTTTTCTAAGTGGATTACAAAAGCACACTAAATTAACAAAACATATTATGTAACTACCTTTTATGGAATTGTCTGCAAGAGAGATTTCAAAATGTGATATTTGCTACCTGGCTTTCATTTACATATCCTCTGACATATCATGTTACCTATGTAGGCCATGAAACCAAAGCAATGCTGAACAACAGCGGTCCAAGGTATAAGCGCAGCAAATTAGAAAGAAGAGCAAATACAGATGTCCTCTGGTGTGTCCTGCTTTTGGCTGTAATGTGTTTAACTGGTGCATTGGGTAGGTACAATTTGATTATATGCTGACATCTTTTCAGCAAGATACTCATTTAAAAGCATTTTATTGACAAAAATTTATGAATGTTTGACTTCTGTAAGGGAGGTTTAATTTGCCAATTTTTTTTTTTAATCACCTCCTTGCCTCTCTCATTCTTTGACCTACAAAACATTAATGTTGATTGTATCCAGTTACATGTGGCCAGAGTACTGAAGGGACTGGAAAGAGCTTGAAAGAAAGAGAGGAGAATGTATAGTCTTTTGAATTTGAATTTGTTTCCAAAAACAAACAGTTGGTTTTTCAACCAAAATAAATATTCTCACCCCTCTTTCTTTAGGAATAAAGTTTTATATGTCCATAACACATGTAGCATCCATTTGATATCTGTGTGTCTTTTTGACAGGTCATGGAATCTGGTTGAGTAGATACCAAAACATACTATTTTTTAATATCCCTGAGGCTGATGGACATGTCTTATCACCAGTGGTGGCAGGATTCTATATGTTCTGGACCATGATCATTTTGTTACAGGTAATTTCTATCGAGCTCATCATAGAATTTTAATATCTTTACAATTTATACAGCTGTATTCGGTTTCTTATCTTTTCTTTTCCCCCTTTACCATTTTTTAAATTGTTTGGCTCTTCTTAGGTCTTGATCCCCATTTCTCTCTATGTTTCCATTGAAATTGTGAAGCTTGGGCAAATATATTTTATTCAAAGTGATGTGGATTTCTACAACGAGAAAATGGATTCTACTGTTCAGTGCCGAGCCCTGAACATCACTGAGGATCTTGGACAGATTCAGTACCTCTTTTCCGATAAAACAGGAACCCTCACTGAGAATAAGATGGTTTTTCGAAGATGTAGTGTGGCAGGATTCGACTACTGCCATGAAGAAAATGGTAAGTGTTGGGTATCTATGAAAACCAACCCTCACTTTGGTCTTTTTATACTCACTTAAAGGTTTGATGATTCTAGCATAGAAATGCTATATTTATGCATTGGGTACTTAATTCATCCAAATGGGCATTACACTTAATTATCATCCCTTCAAAAGCTAATAGGTCAAAGTCAAAGAGTCTACTGTCGTGGTTTCTTTTAGAGGAAAGTAAATTACTGGTAGTAGTAGAAGGTCAAGGGTTGAAAATGGTGATGGTGATGTTACATTCTAGATACTTTTGAGAATCTAATGAAACTATGGACCATCTCCCTAAAAAATATTTTGAAAATAATTCCAAAGGGACTACATGCTCTCCTAACCCCAACATTCAGCCCATAGGTATTCATTGATTCTTAGTTAAGAACATCTAGTGTAAGAAAATATAGGATGAGTTGAACTTCTGACACTAAGGAAGTAAACATATAAATTAGTTATATTTAAAGGAACTTCATTAATTTTGTTATTTATTTATTATTATTATTTTTTATTATTTTTTAAGATTTTATCGGGGAATTGGGGGAGGGAACAGTGTTGGGGAATTGGGGAAGGGGAACAGCCAAGTTGTTGACCTTCAATCTTAGCTGTGGAGGGCACAGCAAGCTCAGCTCCAAGTCCAGTTGCACCACTCAGCTCAAGGTGCTGTGTTCAATTAGTTGCTGGTGGACGTAGCCACCATCCATGTGAGAGTCAAGCTGACAGCCTTAAGAGCAGGCGCTCTATCCTCTGAGCCACCCAGGCAGCAGCTCAGCTCAAGGTGCTGAGTTCAGTCCTTAGTTGCGGGCGGGCGTAGCCCACCATCTTGAACAGGCAACCTAGTTGTTAGGAGCACATGCTCTCACCAGCTGAGCCATCCTGCCACCTGTTGGCAACTCAATGGCAGCTGAGCTCGGGCGCAGCTCACTGGCCCATGTGGGAATCAAACGGTGACCCTGTTGCTCAGAGCTTGCACTCTTGAGCTAGCTCTTAACCAGCTGAGCCACTCGGCTGGCCCCTAATTTTGTTATTTATAAACATACTATGTGCTCCTATGAAGATAATTCTGAGAAGTGTCCAAAACAAATTAAAGCCTTACTCTCTGGAGTTAACCACCATTAACTTTTGATAAATATCTAACCATTTTTTGTGCATATTTTTCTGTATGCGAACATATATATTTACACATTTTCCCATTTATGAGTTAGAGCATATTATAATATTGTTTTGCAATTTGGTTCTCTTACTCAACAATATCTCATGGACTATTTTTCAACTCAGTTAATAACAACATTAAGTGCATAGTGTTGCTTTGTACATGGTCAAGCTTGTTTGCTATTATAATAATACTTGCAATTAGCATTACTTATTCATTCAACAAATATTTTGTGAGCTTTTAATATGTGGCATGAGTCCCTGATTTTATGTAGCTTAGAATTTGGGCAAGGAGATAGACAAGTAAGATGAAAAATTATGATAGATAAAATAAAAGAAAATAATACCTGTTCTTCATGCCCAGCCATATTGGGATGAAGTTACTCCTTTTGGTCTGTGTGATTTTTGGAGACAAAAATTGTCATTGTCTTAATTTGTCTTTGATTACTAATGAGATGTTTAACTTTCTATATGTTTATTGGTCATTTTAATTTCCTTGGTAAAGTGATCATGTTCTTTTCCTATTTTACAAATGAGTTTTTCTTATTCTTAGTAATCTGTAGGAGGGTTTTATCTATTATGGCAGGGCTGGTATGCCCCAGGCTAGATGGTTGTGGCCAGCATCCATTTTCATTTGTGCACTGGATTGAACCAGTTGTTAAATAATTTTAATATGAGCCCTGATGTTATCCTTTTCTTCTATATTTTTTCTGGTTCATTTATTATTATCATTATTATTATTATTATTATTATTATTATTATTATTAGTTTCAGGTGTACAAATGGCTCATTTTCTATTACTATGTTAGTTTGCTATTGAAAAATAAATTACCACAAATGTAGTGGCTTACAACAACACAGGAATGCCCTGTCCTGGCCTCTGGCTCAGGAGTCTGAGTACCAGACAGCTGTGTCCTCTCGGAGTCTCTCGCCAGGCTGAAATCTAGGTAACAGTTGGGACTGTGATCTTCTCTGAGGCTGAGGAGCATCTTCTTAGCTCACTGGTGTTTGGCAGAATTCTGAGTCTTGAGGTTAGAAGGCTGAAGTTCTTTCTTGTTGGCTCTCAGCCTGGGGCCATCTGAGCTCCTAGAAGCAGCCCACCACAGCATGGCAGTTTGCCTCTTCAAGGCCAGCAGCAAAATCTCCAGCTTTGAATCTCTGACTTTAAGGAAGTCCTTACTAAAGAGCTTACCTGATGAGATCATATCCACCTTGAATATTCTTCTTTTAGATTAACTCAAATTCAACTGATGAGGGACTTGATCACATCTGCAAAATCCCTCCACCTTTGCCACATAACATAATGTAATCACAGAAGTGAAGTCCCATTGTACTCACAAGGTGTTTATACCAGGAGGGCAGGAATCTTGGTGGCCATCGTAGAATTTTGCCTCCCATAGTGTTTTAACTTTGCTTAGGGAGTCACTTATTAGGAGTTTTATATTTTTATGAAAGAAAAAATTTCAATTATGAATATTAATTGAAGATTATGAATATTATGATCTCTGCCAGTAGTGTTAAACTTAGAAATCCCACTCTGCCCCAAATTTAAGAATTTAAGAGTATATAGTATACTATATTTTCCCATATATATATATATATATATATATATATATATATATATATGATTTTACTGGGGAATTGGGGGAGGAGAACAGACAAATTGCTGTCCTTTTGTTCTTCAGTCTAGTTGTGGAGGACGTCGCTTCACTGGCCCATGTTGGTATGACATTGTGCTCTTCCCGGCTGAGGCAGATCGCTCACCGGCCATTGGACGGCCACTCATGGCGGCTGCCGGCTACTCACAGTAGCTCATGGCAGCCTACTGCAGCAGGGGCTGCAGCCTACATCGTCACCGGCGACTCACAGCAGCCCAGCTCCAGGTCGAGCTGTTGTTCACCATCTTAGCTGTAGAGGGCGCAGCGTCACTGGGCCATGTGGGATCCGAACTGGGGCCCTGCTGCTCAAAGCTAGCATCCCAAGCCAACTCCTAACCAACGTGTCGCTCAGCTGGCTCATATTTTTAAGCCAACTTTTTGTTACCTGTGAATGTGCAGAATAAAATATTGAGTATTTATTGCATAATCACCATACAAATGAAAAACAAATAGCTAGTCATATTAGATATAATGAGACTCTGTATTTTGTTTCATCTTCTTATATTTTTATTACAAAAGGAATGTTATAGAAAATTCAGGTAAGCCCAAACAGGACAATTTTAAAGTCATCAATAATGCTCACCAGACAGGGGACCACTGTTAACATTTTAGTGCATTTCTTTTGAGTTTTTATCATGCACACATTAACATGTATGTGTTTTAAATAGAGTGACATCGCAGTGTGCTATTAGTTTTATACCCATTTTTCTTAAGACTTCATCATGACCCCTTTCCATTCTCTCCGTATTTTTTTAGTGGTTATGCTATATTACATGTAAGAATTGCCATAATTTACATAACTACCCCGCCATTAGTTTAGGCTGTCAACAGTCATTCATTTTGGTAAACAGTGCTGCAGTGAACATCACTGCAGCTAAACCTCTATGCTATTTGTGAGGTTAGTATTTCCTAAAATACTCCAAGAAGTATCTTGCAGCAGTAATGTTTCATAAAATACATGGTGGGAAGCACTGCATTATTTTTTGTATTTGTAGTTTTTAAAGTTTTGTATTTGTAACATTTAAAGGGACTGATACCAGCCTTCTCACACCCCAGTTCCCTGAGCATGCATGCTCCTGCCCTGTGACTACTTCTCTTCTGTGATCCTCATGCAGGGAAGATACCAAGTGACTGAGAATCACGGGCTGTCATGACTGAACTGTAATTGACAAGATAGCTGTTTGTGAGCCATGGAATGTTGCACTACTTCTGGGAGGTGCTGACTTTGCCTATGGACACTTTTCTAACATATATGTCCAGAGCTTCTGGTGTCTTTTCTGTAATGGTTTAGAAACAAGCCCATGCACGTACACACACACACACACACGCACACACACATACACACACTCAGACACACTCAGACCCACGTTGAATGCTGAAGGGGGAAACGATAGGGGCCAGTTCCCCTGAGAAGTTAATTCTGGGGAGTCATATTATTAATTTTGAGACATACTATTTTCACCGAAATGAAAATATTTAACCCTTCAGGGTTTTCTAGCAAAAGCATTGCCTAGGAGATATTTCTGTAAAGAATATTGCTGCTTGGAAATAATCCCTTACACATATGTAATTGAACTGAAACATACCTGACAATATCATTTCATGTTTTAAAACCTTGCAATTTAGAAATTTGGTCCATGGACTAAGTAGCATACAGACAACTGACAATCCAACAAGCAAATATTTACTGATTATTTACTCGGTATTCCAGGCTCTGGATATAATGATAAACAAAGCAGTTAAAGCCCTTGCTTTCAAGAGTTTCTATTGGTAAAAATAGTCATAAATAAATTAATTTTTAAATCAACAAAAATATTAAATAGTGAAAAGTACTTTGCAGAGAATTAAAATGGGGTGATATGATATAGGATGATTTGAAAGTTATTTTGGATTGGTTGGTCAGGCAAGGCCTCTCTAAGGAGGACATTAGATCCTAGATCTGAATTACATAATCTTGAAGTTCACAGGCAAAAGCCTTCCAATCAACTACACTATACTAGCAGCTAGTATAGCCCTCAGGCTGAAATGAGCTTGGCAATTTTCAAAGTAATGAAGGCCAGTGAAGCTGGATTTTAGTGGAAGTGTGGAAGAAGGAGGGGTAAACAGTTAGACAGGTCAGCAGAGGTCAGATCATTTTGAGTTTTGTAAGCCAAGAAAAGGAGTCCAGATTTTATTCTTAGTGGATTGTGAAGCCACTGGAGAGTTTTGTGCAGGGAGTGATCTGATGTGCTTTATCTTTTAGGAAGATCACTCTAGCTATTGTGTGAGGAATGGATTGCTGAGAGGCAAGGAGACCAGTTAGGAGGCTATTGCACTAGTCCAGTTGAGAGAAAATGATGGCTTGGACTAAAGTAATAGAGATGGAGAGAAGACAAGATATTTGGGATATATTTTGGATGAATTATGGATAGCTGTTGGTGATGCTATGAATATGGGGGCTGAGGAAAAAGAAAGGAATCAGGGTGAATCCTAGATTTTTGGCATAAGTAACTAGGTAAATAGTTAGGTACCATTTACAAAGATGGGGAAGACCAGGGAAAGTAACTTGGAGGGGAAAGAGAGGGAGAGCTCTATTTTCTCCGAGTCACATTTAAGATCGCTATTATTTATTTATGCAACAAGTATTTATTGGATATCTATCAACCACTGCTTTGAGCTCTGGAAATATCATATTAACAAAACAGACAAAACTCCTTTTGGAGTTTATATTCAAAACATAAAAGCAAATAAGATATATAGTGTATAGATGGTAGTAAGTACTGAGATAGGATTTATAGTATGTAATTAGATCTGGGAAACCTTCACTGATGAGAGGACATGATGAGAGACTTGAGGGAAGGAAGGGAGTGAGCCACACAGATATCTGCTTGAAGAACCTCCTAGACATCCAACTGGAAGTATCAGTTGGAGAGTTGGATATAGGAGTATGAGTCTGGATTCCAATTAGAGGTCAGAGTTGAAGGTACAGGTTTGGAGGCCATGTGCACAGAGATGATATTGCAAAGATGGGACCAGATTACACCACCAAGGAAGAGTATGCAGGTGGAGAAGGGAAGGAGTTCCTGCAGGAACCCAATATTTGAGGGCTGAGGAGGCGAGAAGACAGCAGGAGACACTTAAGAAAGAACAGCCATGGAAGGAGGGAGAAAAACACATGGCGTCAGAGACACCAAGAGGCGTTTTAAGAAGAAAATGGTCAACTCTGTTGGTTATTGCTAAGGGTTCAAATAAGATACGGACAGATGCAATAATTGGATTTGGTAATATGGAGCTTGTTGACAACCTTAGCAATAGCAGGGTCAGTGGAGAGACACAGAAAGCTGTGAGATTATTTGAGGAGAGAGAGGTGTGAGTGAAAGAGGAGAGAATTGTGAAGGTGAAGTCCTTGAGAAGCCCAGGGGTGGGATACAGATCACACGTGGCGAGTTTGGTGTTTGCAACTTTATCCATAGTTGGAGGAGGGAAGACAGAGAGTTTGGATACAGATGGAGATAGGTTGGTCGATTTGATGATGGGAAAAGAGGGGAGTTCCTATCTGATTGTTTCTACTTTTTTCCATGAGGTAAGTTCATTAACTAAGGGAATTGGAGGAGGGGAGTTTGGAGGACAGGTTTGAAAAGGGAAGAGATGATGTGAAATAGCTGTTTAAATAAATGCCTGACATATTTAACTTGCAAATGGTTCTTCTCAGATAATGACCCAGTGTGATTTTTTTTTATCCCTCAGCCAAGAGGTTAGAGTCGTATCAGGAAGCTATCTCTGAAGATGAGGAGTTTGCAGACACCCCCAGTGACTCCCTCAGCAATATGGCAAAACTGAAGGCTCCCAGCTGCAGGACGGTTCATAATGGGCCTTTGGGAAGTAAACCCTCGAATCATCTTGCTGGGAGCTGCTCCGCTCTAGGAAGTGGAGATGGAGCCAGTGAAGTGCTTCATTCCAGACAGGCTGCTTTCAGTAGCCCCATTGTAAGTGTGAATGCATGACTTGAATCTTGTACACCCATAATGAATAATGAAAAAACATCCTCATAATTACAATAGAGCCAAACACTGTTGTCTTTTGTACCTGAGAAGAGACTACATAATTGCAGTGCAGTGTGATTGCCACACACATAATTAGAAGTATAAACAAACAGTATCACAACTTCCTAATTTGGGGGATAATTCAGTGTTGAGAGGTAGTATATCATTTCTGAAAAATAAACAATATTTCTAGTCAGGGCTGACCACGTCTGCACCTGGAAAAAGGTGCCTCGGTTTAAGCATTGTGGCCCACTCTCTGAACCAGCAAAGCCTACCAGTTACCTCGTAGACAGGTAAGTACGCCTAAATCAAAGGGAAACCCAAATGCCTTTTGGTACCTGCCAAGGCCTTTTAATCTGTTTTAACCTTCCCCCAGCTCCCACCAAACCTGTGTCCTCTTCCCCATTTCTAGTCCTCAGAGGGGCATTTTCAAGTATTTCTATTTTAGAGCTCAGCAGGGTGTATACCTGAGCCCCAGAGGGAAGTTTCGAGAACTGTCTAGTCACATCCACTGACGAACACATTTTACTGCAGAAAAATAGAGAAGACCATGTGGAAGATGGGACTCAAGAAAGATTCTTGTATGAAAGAATTAGAAATCCAAAGTTTTGCTGCACTTAGAACGACTTGTATAAAATTTCAACAGCCTTTTCAACTTTCCTTATTTAATGAACTCTTGTGTTTTACCAAGATGAGGATTCCCCAGCTGTGAGACTGGTAACGTGTTGGTGATATCTAAAATAGGTGGCATCACAAGAATGAATCAGCTTTGGGAAATGTAGAATCAGTTTCTACATTGAGCTTATTGTATGATTTTCGTAGTAGTGATGTGACCCCAGCTGTCTCTTTTGTCCTGGGGGAGGCCTTGAGGCTCTTTTCAGAGTCGCCAAGAAAAATCGCAGCAGCGAGGGTGATCATTTCGGTGCAACTCATTTAGTTCATTTCTGTGGCATTAAGAATATAAAACCTGTCACACTGTATCTTTGCCATAGGTCAGGCTATTCCTAAAATCTATACTTAATTTTTCTTCAACTTCTAAAAAACAGAAAAATAGGGAAAGCATATACACACAACCTCTTTGTACTGACTTTAAGGCTATATCAGAAATATATTTTTTCTTCTCTTTTTATCTTTTTACCTATTCCTCTGCTGATTTTTTACATGTTCCACACACCTGGAGTTAACTACAGGTTGACTCCCATTTTGTGGAATGGCAGGGTATTAGCCACCACGGGGACTGTGCCACACACCCCCTCGGGTTCCTCATCCGGCCTTGCTCTCTTCTTGGAACAAAGGATTATTTCTTAGTTTAAAATCTGTGTTTTTATCTATACTATTTCCCTGTCTAAAAGTTATTCTCCCTTACAATCTATTTCTGTCTACCAGATCTGATGAAATCCTTATTTCTTTGAAAACCCCCTTAACTATCCTCTTAGGAAGACTTCCCAATCTCTTTTCTCAGCTTCTGAGCTCTGCGTACACATTCCCTCCCTCCCTCGGTCTTTTTTCTGCCTCTGACACAAACCATTAGCTCCTTGAGAGCAAGGACTCTCTTGTCTTGCATCCTTAACATCTAGCTCAGTGTCTCACATGTCCAGTTTCAATAAAGTACCTTTGAAGGTTAAATGAAGCTGCTTAACAGGCTCAGCCTTCCATTCAGTCCATTTTGTTTTCACTTGCCCTATACCCCAATGCCACGCATCACTCTATTATACGGATACTCCAAGGTGGCTGTTTTGTGTTGTGTTTTCAATATGACACTGTTACATAGGATAAAGAAATCTTCCTTGAAATATGAGATCATTCTTGCTCTAGACAAGCTGACTTGACTCTTTTTGGAGACTAAAGATTATTTTGAGAAAGCTGTAGGTTCTTATAGAGGGCAGGTTGGGAGCCAGAGAGTGAGGATCTGAGGCAAATTTCCAAAATTCCTTTGGGACTTAAGAGTGTCACTGAGGGGCTGGCTGAGTGGATTAGTTGGTTAAGAGCTCACTCAAGAGTGAGAGCTCTGAGCGATGGGGTCACTGGTTTAATTCCTAGACCGAGCTGAGCTGCCGCTGAGCTGCCAACAGGTGGCAGGATGGCTCAGCTAAAAAAAAAGTGTCACTGAGGCTCCTGAGTCCTGGGTTCCTGGTACCTTTTTTAGAAGTAGAAACCTTTACTTTCTAAGCCATTGTTTTGATGCTTCTTTAATTCTCTAGAGGTTTTCATTCAACTAGCATGAATTCTACTTGGATTACTATTTTTCTAGATCTTTGTATGGCTGTCTCCTTCCTGTCATTGAGGTCTCAGCTCAGATGTCACCTCCTCAGTAAACTTCTCCACCACCTAATTCAAAGTCCTTTCCATCCACTGCCTCCTCCGCATCTCTTTTTGTCTCAGTCTAGAAGCATCTTATTTGTTTATAGGTTATTGTTTTGGATCCGCTGTCTCCCCCCACTAGAGTGTGAGTTCCATGCAAGCGCAGACCCTGTCCATCCTCTGCCCCACCCCCCACCCCTTTTCCTTGAGGAGCGCCTGACATCATAGCTCAAAAGTAAATATTGATGGGATGAATGAGTTAATTAATGGGTTATTGGGAGGAAATGGTATAATACTAGACACTGGGATATAAAATGAATAAGACATACTCCATCCTTCGGGTTTGTTCTAGGTAGAGGAGGCAGACATATAAATGACTTAAATATAATCCTGTATTCAAGGTGCAGTAATACTTGTTCATGCAAAGTATAGCGAGGGCACAAAGAAGGGAGCGATCAACTCTGAAGAGGTGAGGCGTGCACACAAGAGGGAAAACTTGAGTTAGGATTAAACTAATGAGTAGGGGTTTACCGAGTAGGAAAGGCAGGAAAGGCAGGTGGGGCAGGCAGTGTGTGGCTCATGCAAAGGCTCAGAACCACAGGACTGGAGGAGGAGTTATCAGTGTGTTTGTGGTATCAGGAATCTGAGGGAAAAAGAAGGCACTTGTGTGCATACTTAAGCCAAAGTTGTAGAAGTGGAGTGTTGTTGAGTCCTTGAAACTGGAGGATGGGGGGAGGGGTTGGCAGCGGGAAATGACATAAAAACCTTAGGAACAGGTGGAACTATCAGGGGAGTAGGAAACAGTATTAGAGCTGCCTGGTCAGCGTTATCACCTGCGGAAAATATCTTTGTCCATTATTAAACTCTGGGCATTTTAGGTTTTGCATAAACAATTAAAGTGGGTTCCTGTCACTCTCAGTTTTAAAACAGACTTCACATTCACTATGTAGTAAGGCCACTCAAAAGCTTCAGCAGATACCATCAAAGGCCAAGGGAAGTCTTGGCCAGTGTGTTTGCTTGTTTGATTTGAATTTGTATAGGGGGTAAAACAGAAAGACAGTAACCTGAATGTGAAACTTGCAACCGGGTAGGAAGGCGTAACATGAATCATGGAGGCAAATCTAAAATTTGAAATAGTTAGATGTTACATGAAATTGGGACAAAGATGTTGGACTCTTACTGTGAAACCAGGTAAGGCTTTGTTTAATTATAGGAAGCTATCCACAGCATGCTCTGCATTCTCTAATTAGGAGCATAACTTTCCTCTGCATTTAAAAAAAATATCTATTTGATGCCAAATGGGAGGAGTTTATATATTTGTTTTCTAAGGAGTAACATCTTTTCGGTCTTGTTTATCTGTTACCAGGTTGAGATAATATTCCTTGGCTCTTTGTTTTCTCGAGGGAAAGAATTCAGTAGAGAGACAGAGTTTTGTACAGGTAAAGGATAGTAAGCAGTTTATTAGTAAAGGCAGATACACTCCAAGATGTGGAGCAGACCAATCCCAAGAGGGGGAGAGGCCTCTCCTTACCTTGTGCGAAGGCTTTTATTCCTATGGGTAGAATTGCCTCCCCGTCTCCCTTCTCTTCATCTCTTTCTCTCCAGCTGAGGTGCCCAGTTCTCCCTTTTGATTCTCAAGGTAGTTTCTGTCAATTTTCTTTTTATGATTTGTTTGTGAAGGTCACTAAAATAGTCCTGATAAGCAGGATGTACATTCTGATAAGTGAGATGTCTTCCTTCCTTCTCTGGCTTTTAACAACACTCCCCTTTGATTTAGGGGCATGTAAGAGCCTGGAATTCTGCTGGGCTAGTGAGGCACTGGTGCCCTAAGTGACGGCAGCTGCAAGGATTCTTGACTCCAGTAGGAGCTGCAGCAAGGGGCTTTCTTTCCGGGGCTAAGTTTCTCCTTTTCCTGCTCATTTCTATCTATCTACCTACCCTATGATATCCACTCCCTTCTTTATGAAATGTAAAATTAGCAAGTGTTTCATAGTAGTGGACAACAGTAAACTTTTCTTACTTATCCATGTGCCAGGTACAGAGTTAAAGATTCAAAGAGCAATAAGATACGGTCCTTCCTTTAAAGGAACTTACAAACTCTGTGGGGAGAGACATACATGTGCATGGAATCATTTAAAGAAAGATGGTGTCGCCTGGTCCTTGGGGTAATAGGAGTTCAGAGAAGGCAGAAACTGTCCATCACAGAAGAAGGAACAAAAGTCAACTTTGTAATATAGGGTCTCAGTGAGGAAGGTTTGGATCTTAGGAAAAATGCTTATAAATAAAGTCACATACACAGGAATTGCATGCGGTGACTATACTTTTCTCAAGTCAGCAACTAAATATCTTGGTCACTAGGGATTAACTTATTTTAGAGAAACCAACTAAAGTGGAAGAATGTTCCATGGCTCTTTCCTTAAATCTTCTTTTGGGCTCTTTTATACAATATATTGTTTCATGATGCTTTTAGGATCTCGGATGGTCTTGAGTTTCTAGGTTTTTCTCACATTTGACAGTACTTTCTGTAAACACAGTTTTGCTGACCATAGCCCCAGCTTTGGTCAGCTCTAATAGCTCTTTTATTCTCGTGGTCACAGCACAGGCTTTCAGTCATGCAGTCATTAAATCCCCCAAATGGCACATTAGATTGACTTATGTCAACAGCGTTTGTCACAAAGACGAAGTGACAAACTTTTTATTCGTCTTAGATTGACTTCAGAATACAGTGGTCTTTAGGATCTAAAGCCAGTTATTAGTCAATACAGAGATCATTGGTACAATGAAATCACTATTAGCTTCTAAAGCCTCATTCAATCCCAAACGTGTTTCATAGGACAATGTCTCTAAAAAATAAAATTTGATAAGCCTGTTCATACTGGCCTCTTCTTGGAGATGCTCAGTGCCCACTGAACTCTGAGAAGTGCTGCAAGAAAGAAACCTGTTTAATGTCAACATTTCTTACACTTATTTCAGTATGAAACTCTTGTTTGTTTGTTTAATACATACTAACATTCTGAGAAGGATGCCTCTGTAAATATTGCTCCAACCCATGGAATCTCACAAGCACTGGGTGACAGTATAATCATAGGCCTTGATAAATACCATACAACAAGCTTCCCAAGAATCCCATGGTTGACTAAGCGCTGAGTGAGAAGTCTCTCAGACTTGACCACTCTCTTCTGCCGACTTCGAGGAAAGGGTTGTTCTCTGAGTACTGAGGACCTAGCACAGGCACAGCCAGCATTACTGTGTTTGAGACTCCTGAGGAAATGTGGCCAACTCATTCATGAACAGCCGCCACACTAGGAGTGCCTATGAACTCCATCAAACTGCAAGAAGGTTTAAATTTTGCTACATCAAATATCACAGGACAGTAGCTCTTGATGTATTATATCTAGATACAAATTTAAGAATGTTTTGTGACAGCAGGTCACTTGGACCTTTAAAACCCATTGTGAACCTTGTAACCTGCCTGAAGGTGAGTGTGTCATTTGTAATAGAAAAGGAACCTTACATTATTTGGGTTTCTGCTGTGCTGGTCTCATTTACATATAAAGCAGCCACCCTGTGAGGTAGGTAGCTACTTCACCACTGTTACTTATTTTTACCATTATTTGGAAGAGGAAAATGAGCTCAGAGAGTGAAGTTAGCTACCTGAGGCCACTAGCTAATAGGCAGTGGGTCTAGGACCTGAACCCAAACCCATATGATTTTCAGCCTGTACTCTTTTCTTGTTAAGCTTATGCTCATTCTCACCAAACTCCTAAGCATAAGCCATGGTCCTCTGAGTCTAATATCACACATCTCCATATTTTACTCTTTTCAATAAATCGCCTCTCCTGGCTTTCCTGCTTCAGTATGCTTTGCCAACCAACTGTGTCCAGGATTCCTCTAGAATACAATGGTATTTTTCCGAAAACTTGATTTGAAGTATTTCTTTTGACTCATCTGAAAAATTTCTAACGCAGTTGACTATATGTTACTACAGGGGTGGGGGGGGGGTGTTGCCAAAAAATGTATACACGTGACTTGTATTCATCTTTTGTTATCGGTATATATTAAATATTACCATTTTAATATAGTTTTTTCCTTCCTTAAAATACGTATACTTTTTTTTTTGGCTCTCTCTATAGATTATAAACAGATTTCTACTACAACAGTCTTTTGTTAAGACTACTACTCTTAAATGTGAAAAGCATTGTGTTGAACAAAATAGAGTATTTTTCTTTCAATAACAAATTCTTAGAGCCAATTTATACAAAAAATCTTTAAGAGGAAGGCACAGGACATGGTAGGGTTGCCAAATATATTGAATGATTGGAAATCTCTTCAAGGAACCCTTATTAATGTCTTGTAGAATATTACTAGGAAATGCTGATTAAATCTGGTAGCTTGCTCATAGTAATTTTTATTTTGGAAGGGTAGTTTTTAATAATAGTGGTGACTTGAGGCATAAAATGTTTTGTTAAAATTACATGGTATGAATAATACCCTCACTTTTAAAAAAGAGTTGATACTCATCTGTTGCTGTTGGATGAACCAAGGTAAGATCCTAAAATATAGCTCTAGTACTATGCATTTCAAGATAAGAAAACACTCATGCAACTAGATTTTGGTGAAAGGCACTGTTCCTGTCTTTAATTTAAGTTGATAGTCAAAGCAGTCTCCATTAATATTTTACATTCTGGATTTTCCTTTTTTTTTTTGTCTTTTATTTCTCTATTCTCACTTCCCATGAATCTTTTTTTGAAGAATAAAGTTTACTGTCTCATGCTTGATTATAAAAGCTACCTCTCATGTAGACTTAAAACTCATTTTTAGATGCTTCTCAGTAACAACGCTTTGTCTTCTTGGATCTCCAGGAAACAGATGTGGTACCAGACACCAGGCTTTTGAACAAATTTAGTCAGATTACACCTCAGCTGTTTAACTCACCAGATGAGACCATCCCAAATCCACCACTGGAGACTTTGTACATCATTGACTTCTTTATCGCGTTGGCAATTTGCAACACAGTCGTGGTTTCTGCTCCTAACCAACCACGACAGAAGGTAAGGTCTCTAGTGCAAACAAGGGTCACCTTCCAGAAGAAAACTTTGGATTTAAATGTACTTATACTGGTCTTATGTGGATAATAATTAATAATAATAGCAGCTAAACATTTATACAGCACTTAATCTGTGCTCTGCACTTGCAGTGTTCTAAGTGATTTACTGGTATTAACATGTTTAGTCCTCCTAACAACCCATGAGTTAGGTACTATCACTCTACTATTTTCTATTTTACAGTTGAGGTTAAATAACTTGCCCAGGGTCACAGGATGGGTTCGTAGGGAAGGTAAGATTTGAACCCAGGAAGTATGGCTCAGTGCTGCTACACTATTTTGCCTCTAGGAGAGTAGCTGATGAAAATGGTTCCTGTGGAATGTGGCTCTGTTCATTTTGCTTTAGTTTTCTTACTAAATTGAAGCTTTCTTTGAGACTTTTGAGATGTCCAACATCATATGCGCTACATCAAGCAAAATATAAAGTATTGGATTCATTATTGTGTTTAATGATAATGTACCTTTTTTCATGTACCAGTTGGGTTAGTTTTTACACAATCAATCTACAATCCAATACATCTGTAATAGACCCAGGTTCAGCAGTTCCCACTAACATCTATTTGTAGTTTAGAATTCATGGAAAATTCATTTTCAATTAAAAAGAAAATCTTGTTTTAGAGATTGGTGATTCACCACTTGCTGTGCTGGCTTCCTTGTGTATAACTATTTCCCCTTTTGCACATATCCACTTAAAATTCAATTTGCAGCACAACCCAATTAAATTTTAATTTTCCATCAGATAATTTTCTTTTGGCAACTTCAGAGGTGGTCAACTTTAACATAAAGATAATTTATTTCCAATTAAGCTTTCATTGGCTATAGAAACTATTCTTATAAGATTTTGACTAGAAAGTTGCCCTTTGAAAAGTGATTATGTAATTAGAGAATAAATCTCACTGGGTGCTCTGTTTTCTCCCAATATAATACTTCTTCATCTGCATCTATTTCCAAAGTAGGCATCTTTTGGTGTTTTCTGCTTAAGAAATTTTGGTGCCTTATCCCCAAAGAATATAATGTTCTATGGCCTAAAATAAAATTTCTGTAGGCTTATAAGAGCCTACGTTTCATGATATTTCAAGGTAATGATAGAAAAACAGTGAGTAAGGAGCTAATCAGAAACCTCATCTGTGATTGAGCTTCACTTTTCTTTTTCTGGTTTTTTTTTTGAATACCAAATAGTTTATTAGAAAGTACATGGTCTCAGTGGCAATAACAAATTCACTTAAACAGGAGACAATAATCAAATCATCAGAAAATCTGTGGCCATTAGGGCTATCATTTAAAATCACTCAGAGGCTAAAGCTTAAAAAAGATACATCCTCTTATTAGTCCATATAGAATAGGTCCAGAGTACCTGGAATCTGTAGAATTCTGTAGGTTATCACCTTCTAACCAAACACAGCCCATTGGCACATAGCTATGACTTTTAAAGAAATCTGATGGACTATTGGTGAGGATTTTGTCTCCTTCCAACCCAGTTACTCTTTTACAAATATTTGATTTTGGGTCACTTGGGCTTTTTGCAATCACAGTGTCACCTCTTTGGATATCATAAAAATGTCAACTAAGATTTTCTGCAAAGACAATATCTGAATTTTGAATTGTAGGTTCCATTGATGGTCCAGAATACATGACACCACCACCAAGGTATTCAAAAGCACAATGAGCTATACAGCCATACTGAATAGTATAGCCAACAAGTCGAAAGGGTTTTTCCCAGAACACCAGGAAGCATGGTTCTGCGTAGACTTGGCCACCATTGGCCAGAAGTCTGTTCTACAATGCATTCAATTTTTAGGGTAGTTGCAGGGCTTCCAGAAAAAAACATCTAAAGCATATCTCAAAGCACATATGGGTAATCCATGGTTTCAGGATTCCTCCAGCCCCAAAGAACCTGGGAAGACCCTCACCCAGGCCAGCGGTGGGCCTTTCTCACCTTCACTTTTCTTTTCACGTCTGTGTTGCGAGTAAGTTTGCAAATTGAACATCATGAGTCCCTCAAACTATCATAAAATTAATAATTTTAAGGAGAAAACTTTCTAATTCCTTGGGCATTTCTGAATGAGAAAATTTTAGGATCAAATTAATTGGTTTTCATAATCTAATATGCTATCATTGAATACTTAATTTGCTTATAATTTTTAAATTGCTATTGCTAGGATGCATGCAATAAAGATTATGGATTTTCTATATTTTAAATTAGTTCATTAGGAAAAATTGCTATAATTATGCACGCTGCTAGCAATATTAGCACTTTATGTCTTTCACTATCAGTTGTCAAATGTCTTCCTAAATAATTGTAGAAATTCATAATGCACACATTTTTCATAATAGTTATTTTTATTAATATTTTCTGTGGCAGTTGTCAGCATGAAGCAGGCCGTTAGCTATTTAAGGGAGTGGTAACTCTTCATATCTAATTTTTTCCCAGTTTGACTTCAAAGTTATTATAAACGGCTTTTGACTGTATCCTTGAGACCTTCCCAAACTTCTTTCCTAGATCAGACTCTCTACATTGAGTGGACTGCCCACGAAGTCTTTGGAAGAGATTAAAAACCTCTTCCAGAGATTGTCTGTCCGAAGATCAAGTTCACCATCCCTTGCCAGTGGGAAAGAACCATCCTCTGGGGTCCCCAGCGCCTTTGTTAGCAGACTCTCTCTCTTCAGCCGAATGAAACTGTCTTCATCGGTGGAGGAAGCGTGCTCACAGACAGGCGAGAGCCCTCCGGGTTCTAGTAACTCTGCTTGCCCTACAGACACAGAGAAACAAAATGGTGATGCAGGCGTCACCAAGGCCAAGGTGGATTCCCTCCCTGGACAGCCCTTGGCCTCGAACCTGTGTTATGAGGCCGAAAGCCCGGATGAAGCGGCCTTAGTGTATGCTGCCAGGGCTTACCAATGCACTTTACAATCCCGGACACCAGAGCAGGTCGTGGTGGACTTTGCTGCTTTGGGACCCTTAACATTTCAACTCCTACACATCCTGCCCTTCGACTCAGTAAGAAAAAGAATGTCCGTGGTGGTCCGGCACCCCCTTTCCAACCAAGTTGTGGTGTATACGAAGGGCGCTGATTCTGTGATCATGGAATTGCTCTCCGTGGCTTCCCCAGGTGGGTTCATCCAGAACTGAGAGGGTAGTGATGTGAAGGGTTCAGAGATTAAAAGACCACTCTCAATGGCTTTATGAAGGCAAACAAGCAGATATGTGGAGTCAGTCACACTTGATGAAGCATGTAAGTTTAGGGGCTCCCCAGACCTGGGTTCAAATCTGGCCTTTCTTGTTAGCTATGATAAAATTCCCTAATTATTCTGCACCTAGGTGTTCAGTACATGGGGATTATGGTATCATTTTTATAGTTTCCTCAGAGGTTTAATGTCATACCATATACAATATGTGTACAGCCTTTGCTCAGTGCTTAGCTAATGGTAAGTGCTCAATGAATGGCTGCCAGCATTACTGTAGTTATTGTTACTGTTGTCACTGATCATATGGGAACAGTGTTTGTATTAAGTTCTTGGTATTTTCCTCTCCCTAGGGAGAAAGGAACAAGGGAAAGATTTATTCTGAGGGTCCCTTGTATAAATGCACATTTGGGATTCAAAACTACAAGGCTTCTTGTTTGTTGTGGGTTAAGCTATCATTGTTTTTAAAAATATATCTGTAATTGGGCAGGCTGGTGGGAACACTTGTGTTTTGTTAATTATTTCAGATGGAGCAAGTCTGGAAAAACAACAGATGATAATAAGGGAGAAAACCCAGAAACACTTGGATGACTATGCCAAACGAGGCCTACGCACTTTATGTATAGCCAAGAAGGTAAGGCTGGTAGCACATTGCTCATTCCTACCTCCAAGGTGATCTGACTTAGGAGAATCTGACATCCATTGGGCTAGATTGTTATCAGGGGCAAGATCGTTTCACTGAAAAGGCAGAGGGCCTCTTTTGATCTTGAACTCTCCATTCTTACAACTATGTATGAATAGCTAGAAAGTGCACTCCACACACACACACACACACACACACACACACACACACACACACACGCTGCTTCTTAAGAACTGACGTAGATTTCTCCCTCTGTGGCAACCTGAAGACAGGAAAATGTATCATTGATTCCTTCTCTAGGAATTCCACTTACTTTTTTTGAAACAGGATTTTCTTGCTCCACACATATGGCCCCCTCTCTCTTTTTCCCTTTACAAATAACTGACCCCATCAACCAACCATCAAAAAATATCAGAGGTGCTGCTGCCTACATAATACCTGCACCATCCTGATACCACTTTCTCCATTGCACCATAAGAATCACTCTGAATTTAACTAAGTGGAGACTTCTCCCAACTACGTATTTTCTGGTTTAATTAAATAGATAAACCACTTTCATCATATATGGTGCCTAGAATTTCCCAGAGATACTGAGCTATAGGTTCCATCTATCATTATTGTTACACTAGTCTGATCATTAGAATTTGGAAAGCTTGTGCATGAGGATACGGACCTGGCATGAGTGTGCCCAGAGAGAGAGGAATACCTAAAACAAGTTGATGGCTTGATACTCCTGCAGGGCTAAGTCCTGGCAAAATCATCATGCGCACGCCTCATAGCTCTTTTTTCCCCCATAGGTCATGAGTGACACTGAATACGCAGAGTGGCTGAGGAATCATTTTTTAGCTGAAACCAGCATTGACAACAGGGAAGAATTACTACTTGAATCTGCTATGAGGTTGGAGAACAAACTAACTTTACTTGGTAGGTAGACTATGTTGTATTTTCTGAATGGAGAATTTTGAAAAACACTTGATATCTCTAAGGTATTTACCAGGGCTTCTCACTGCCCCGCCCCCCCCCACTTTGATCTAATAGATATGTGATTCTGCCCACCCAGCCTGATTTTATCCAGTTTCCAATCTTTTCCATTCTGTTCCCCACTGCAGTGAAGTAGTATGGTGGTATCAGGGTGGTCTTGCTTAAGAAGTCGCTTAAAAACATAACACTGACATAGAGTACAAAATCAAATAAATATCCTGGTTCAAGAGAAGAAAGCTTAAGTTTCTTGTCAGACTTTGGATAAATTACTTAATATGTGTTGTTCTTTTGAATCTGTACAACAAATCTTCATTTTACTTAGAATATAGCTTGGAGCACAGAGCAGTTCAGTGACTTGTTCAAAGTCACATGCTAGTAACTGACAGAGCTAGGAAGGAACTCGGGTTTACCTGGTTCATTATTCTGCACCTGCAGCTGGACTAATGAAATACATTTCTCTCTCTTGCTTTCTGATTTCAACTAAAGGTTGCACAACTGACACCTCTTGTCTTAGATTCAGCTGCACCTTGAAATCACCTGGAGCACTTTTAAAAATCCCTATTCCTTGGGATCCTGATTCAATGAGTCTGATGTGTAGCCTGGACACTTGAATTCTTAAAAGCTCCCCAAGTAATTCTAAGAGGAGCCAAGGTTGAGAACCACTGCCTTAGAGTCTGGAGAACTAGTTTCTAATATAAGCACTAACACACCAAGAGACCAACCTCTTAGCCCCATCCCTCTGGTTTAGAGAAAAACAATGATCTCACTTCGTATCTGGCCAGTAGAGTAATGATGCCCACCGCTAAGTCATTTCTCTGTGCACTGACCGAACTGTGGGTCCACATTTCCTCATCTGTAACTCCAGACTCTAAAATGCCCTGAGGACTGAGTGCCAAAAGACGTTTGGCAGCAAAATCGGGCCTGATTTGATAAGACTATTTATAAGTCTTTATTATGCTAATTGGTATGAACATTTGTATGTTTTGCCACAGAAATATCAATATGCTTGTTTATCAGATATTACAAAATATGCTATGTACCATATTACCTTTTTAAGATCTGCAAAACTTTTGAATTCCAAATCGTACCTGTCCCCTAGTTGTTTCAGAAAAGGAAATTATGGACTTAGGCTATGAAAAAGTACTGAAATTAGATATTATATCTTACTGACAAGGGCATTCTTTAAAATCCTGCCCTTACCTTTGGGAGTATCATAGAATTATAAAGTTGTAGAGCAAGGTTATATAAGCAACTGAAACAACCCCCCTCAATTTACAGGAAAGAAAACTAGCCAAAGGGAAAGCAAGTAACTTTGATAAACTCATTGATTCCTAAGGCTTCCTTCCCAAAATATTACTTTGTATATAATTCACACTTCCTTTGAATCCCTGGAAGTTACTGGAAAAGGATTGGATTGGCTAACAGATGTGGTCCAATTATAGCCTAGGTAAGCTTTAGCTAACTTCAGTTTCTTACATGCCCTGTTGCACTTTGGTTCTTTTTTAGGTGCTACTGGCATTGAAGACCGTCTGCAGGAGGGAGTCCCCGAATCTATAGAAGCCCTTCACAAAGCCGGCATCAAGATCTGGATGCTGACAGGGGACAAGCAGGAGACAGCTGTCAACATAGCTTATGCGTGCAAACTACTTGAGCCAGATGACAAGCTTTTTATCCTCAATACCCAAAGTAAAGTATGTATAGTGAGATGAAACCAGTCTTTTTGTTTTTGCAAAGCCAGTGGAGCATTTGTGATTTGATGAATATAAGAAGAAAGAAAAACTGATAACCTTTAGTTCCTTGATAATTATTTATTCTATCCAGCAGGCTAGCTCGTGCTTGGGGGAGTGGGGGAGGAGGTGGGGGTACCATGAAACGTCGTAATGATTCAGAAGAATCACTGCTGAATACAGACATTAAAAGAAAGTTTCTTTATTATTTTTTATTTGACAAGATTTAGCCCATAATGACAAAATACATCAAGCTCGGAGACAGGACTCTACCTCCCTGTCATGTTGAGGGGAAGTGATGATTTCTATTGGAGTCAGGTGAATAAATGAATATTTTTATGGTAGTTCTAAAAATAAACTGTCAAGGTAATTATGCCCTCTACTGGCAATTCTTAGCTAGTGCTCCTGAGACTATCAGAAGTTTGTGTTTAAGGAAAGGGAAAAGAAAGGTGTTTTTTTTTTTTTTTTTTAAGGAGAAAGAACTTAAGAGGTTTGGACCCAGACTATTTTTTATCAATCCTGCCCCCGATCTCTAAAACAAGCATTCTATTTTATTTTCTTCAGAAGATTCCTAGTATAGTAATATTCTATGATTTAGGCATATCGCTTAATTAGCTTGGAAAACCTTCCTCGTTTTTTCCTCAGTAGTCAGACTTAATCAGTGACATTCATTCTGTCACAGCAGCTGGCCTCTCAGAAATCTCCTGGAGCTTCTCATCTGGATCACATCTTGGGCTTTTGTCGCAGGCTGCCATGTTTGGTTAGCTGAGTTTTTGTGTTCAGGCCTCGATTAATACCCAAGTAGATCATACATTTTGAGGACAGGGAATTTTCCTTATTGAACACAGAGTAGGTTCTTCTTGGCAATTGGCAGTGGCCCAGAGACCCATAACCAAACCACCAGCCAGCTCCTAGTACCAGCCAGGGGCTGAGCACATGAAAATACGTAGTCATTTTGGTCACTAAATTGGATGTGCCTTCAGGCTGGTAAGACCCAGGTTCAAATGCTTGGCCTACCAGCCACCAGGTATATGACCTTAGGGAGTTACCCCGTTGGGCCTTTTTCCTTACCTGTAATGTGAGAGTAATGCCTATTTCATAGCATTGTTTTGGGCATTAAATGAGAAAATATAAATTGTTAAATGTGATTCCTGGCAGATACAGGGGTTTAATGAATATTAAAAAGGAAAAATAATCAATTCTTGGTGTTTGAGTTTGACATTTCTGTGAGCAATAAAATTTTTAGGATTGTGAAATTTATTTGTAAATACATAATTTATGGTAAAAGCATTTAATACTATTAATTCAAGAAGTCTTTATGGAATATCCATTGTGGAGTCTCCTAAGTGTGAAAGATCATCTTTTTTTTTTTTGCTACCTGTTGAATTTTCCAGATAACTAAACAGAACACAGTGAACATAATTTAGTTTTATGATGACTCAAGTCCATGCAAATAAAATGCTGGGCATGTAATAAGGGCTCAGTCACTGGTATTATTTTCTCTTCTTCCCGCTCCCCACCCTACAAGAAATGCTAAGAATTAAAAAAGAAATTGAAGATCATGGAGCCCAATTTGTCATTTAATTAAGAATTGCCCCTGTGACATTCTGAGTGGGCCACCTGGCAACCAATGGAATGTCTGCTTATTTCTATAGTATAATACCTCAACTTTACAAATTTCCATCCACTTTTTTTTTTTAAGATTTTATTGGGGAGTTGGGGAAGGGGAACAGTGTTGGGGAATTGAGGAAGGGGAACATCCAAGTTGTCCTTCAGTCTAAGTTGTGGAGGGCACAGCTAACTAAGCTCCAAGTCCAGTCCCCATCTGGCTGCCCATTAGCAGCTTGCGGCCACTCAGCTCAAGGTGCTGTGTTCAAACTTACTTGCGGTTGGGCGTAGCCTACCATCCCATGCGGGGGTCAAACCGGCAACCTTGCTGTTAGGAGCACGTGCTCTCAGCTCTCACTAGCTGAGCCATCCTGCCACCTGTTGGCAGCTCAGCTGCAGTTCAGCTCAGGCACAGTGTCACTGGCCCATGTGGGAATAGAACCCGTGGTCCTGTTGCTCAGAGCTTGTGCTCTTAACCAAGTGAGCCTCTCTGCCGGCCCTCCATCCATTTTTATTTCTAAATTTGGGAATTGGATCATAGTAAATGTAATTACTTACAAACCTTACATAGTTTCCATTCTCATAAAAGTTTTGTTTCTTTTTTGTTTTAGTATAATTGTATCCAGGATTATATAAAGGCCTTTCAGGATTTATCACTTAGTTTTTTAAGTTTTATTTTTATAATTTTATTTAAAATCTTCTCTTGAGATAGTAACCTTTATATTAATGTTTATTAGAATCTATAAAAGACTTTTTCATACATAATCTCATTTGACATTTACAGCAAGTAGATAGCAGATATAATTATAGTATTTCTGTTTTATAGCCTGAGATTCCAAAAGGTTCTGATGATTTTGTCTACAGCTGATTGCTTGTCAAGCATGATTTCTATGTTATATTTTATATAACCTGCATCTATCTATCTATCATCTATCTATCTGTCTATCTATCTATCTATCTATCTATCTATCTATCTATCTACAGTTGATTCTTCTTATTCCTTAACTTCTATAAAGTTGGAGGAAACACAGAGTTAGTGAATACTTATCCATTACCCCTAAGAGAAATACAGGATTAGGTTCCCATGAGCCTCTGGTCACAACGTTTTTGTCAACCAGTCAATATATAACCTTGTTTCATGTGTGTTTCTGTTTAAAGACTATATATATATGTATATATGATTCATTAACACACATATTTTCTCTATAAGGCACATCATAGCCTTCTTGTGCCTAGGAACACTAGATGGCACTTCAGCAATACGCTTGGAGGGTATCTTAAATAGTGAAATCACCCACAAAAAGCACAAAAATGGGGAAAATGTGCCACCAAACAGATAGCGAAAAGGACACTTGTTTCCAGTATGGGAGCAGATGTGAGACGGGGGAGCAGACGGAAGATGGCAGCGCTCCATCTTGTTCAGCCTCAGCTGGGAAGGTGCACGTCTCATGACTCAACATATTTGTCACTCTATATGTCCACAAATGACTGAGAAAGCCCCATGAGTATTGATTGTAGGATTACAGATAAATTTTAGCAAGTATGGGGCATTGCAGGTACAGAACCCGCAAATAATGAACAGCAGCTACGTATGTGTGTACATATATACTTCTGTAATGAAAAGACAGTTAATTTATAAAACAAAGCACATACATATGCAAATAAGGGGATAAAAACATTCATGTAATCAATCTAGAATCATAAAACTACGAAAACTTACATTCCTATTTTAGAGGGCATCCACTCAGACTATATTCTGTGCACTCTGAGCATATGAAGGCTACAAAGACTGCATTTGTACTATGGGAATCAGATTTGCCCTGAAGTTATAAAGCTTGCCAGGCAGTCCATTTTAAAGCTGAATTTCTTGTTTGTAGTTCATGTGGTTATTAAGTCTTTGTTATATCATGCCTACATATCCACGTCTACTTCCTTACCAATCTTATTTTATTGTGGGTTGACAAATGCTTAACAAAACAGCATTTGAAATAAGAGTCGATGGCCTCTGAGCGAGGGGCTCTTTCATGAATAAACTATTTCAGGCTTAGCGTGTAAACATAAATGCACTGCTCCAAGATTTGGCTGGGCTCTGTTCTTGGCGATCATCTGACACAATAATTTCTGTTAGTCTTCTTGAGTAGAATTCATTCAATAAGCAGTGAGTGTATGCCCAATGTGGCCCTCTTTTAGGCATTATGAAGGCTTCAAAAGTACATTTAAAGCAATACCCACCTTTAAAGACCTTCCTAACCACTGTGGGGTGAGGCGAGTCGAGGGATGTACACCAGTCGAATGTGACGAGCACCACTACAGATATCCTGACCAGAAGGTACACTCCATGACGACAGGGATTTTTCTGTTCACTGATGTGTCCACAGCAACTAAATGTTTTCTAATGTGTAGTAGTTTCTCAATAAATACTTAGTGAATGAAGGAATGAATGTATTGAATCTAAAAGAGGCTAAAAACAATAATTACTCTTTTAAAATCTGCTGTGTATTATGCCTTACACTAGGAGCTTTGCATATATTATTTCATTGATTCCTTACATTTTTATGAAGTAGACATTTGCATTTTTCAGATGAGAACGTTGAGGCTCAGAGAGGTTACCTAATTTGCCTAAAGTCTAGCAGCTGGTAACTGGCAGAATAAGACCAAAGGGCTCTTGAGATTCACTGTTTGAGAGGGTAAATTGCACAAATAAAGAAATTCTAAAGCTATTTCTTAGCTGTGGAATTGGGCATGAGATGTCCTAATCCTTTTAAATGATCTCCATATAAACCCAGAACTCTGTGGCAGAGCTGTGACGTCTTTGAAAATAACCAATTGTTCACTATCCAGGGTTGCCTTGATGAAGCAACTGCTAAAGAATGACAATGACAAATTTAGCTGGATATGGTCACCAAGATTCCCCAAGGTTAATAACTGTCTTTGCCACTTGTTTCAAGGATGCCTGTGAGACGCGGATGGGCACAATTTTGAAAGAACTTCAGAAGAAGAATCCCGCCTCGCCAGAGCAAGAATCATTAAATGAGGCTTTATCCCAGCCTCCTGCCCCTGAGGACGCAGGGCAGCGGGCTGGACTCGTTATCACTGGAAAGACCCTGGAGTTTGCCCTGCAGGAGAGTCTGCAGAGGCAGTTCCTGGAGCTGACTGCTTGCTGTTATGCTGTGGTCTGCTGCCGAGCCACACCCCTGCAGAAAAGCAAGGTGGTGAAACTGGTCCGCAACCAGCTCCGGGTGATGACCCTGGCCATTGGTGAGTGGGGATGGAGCCCAGCCCTGGGCTTCTCGCCTTTGTGCCACCCCAGAGGCTGACCCTTCTGTCTGTTCGTCCTTCTGTATATCTGTTCACCCTTCTGGCTAGCTGTCCTTTTCTCCCCTACTTTCCCTCTCGTTTTTCTTCCTTCTTTCTCTCCGTCTCCCCACTCCGCCTTTCCCTCCACCACCTATTTGACCAGCTGCTATGAACCAGGTCGTGGGGATGTGACATGGAAAACGATGTAATAGTCAAGACTCTGGGGGTTACATGTTAGAACCCCAAATCAACTGCACTAAGAAGGGTAATGTACTGAATCACAGGACTGAAAAAATCTAGTTCTACCTTCAGGAAAGTTTAATTTAGGGACATGAACAATTTATTTATCCATTCAACAAATATTTATTGGGTGCCTCCTAGGTGCCAGGCATTTTTCTAGGCAATGGAGATACAAGAGTATGTAAAACTGGCAAAGCATCTCTTCTGAATGAGCTTACATCGAGTAGGAGGGCATATAGTGAACAAAGGAGATGAAAAAATGAAACAAAACAAAAAAGGCATAAGTATATAAGATAGTGAAGAATGTTATTGAAAAAATAAAGCTGAGTTGGGGGGTGGAGAGCATTTTGGGGAGGGAGAATGGGCTGCTATTTTAAATATGTTTTTCAGAGAGGGACTCACTGATAAGGTTGTATGGGGGTAGAGACTTGAAAGAAATGGTAAGGGAACCGTGGGAGATCTGTGGAGAGAACATTCCAGGCAGAGAAGACAATGAAAGTGAAGGCTATGGACCATGTGTGATGTGTTCGAAGCCAAGGCAGATTGAGTCAAGGGAAGAGTTTCCTGCAGGTTAGTGAAGGGCAGAGAGGTGACAGGTGGCCACATCCTGTAGGGTCTTGGAGGGCATTATAAGTTTTTAGCTTTTATCTGAAGAGATAGGAAGTCATTGGAAGATTTTGAGCAGAAGAAGGATGTGATCGGCCTTAAGTTTAAAATGCTCACATTGGCTGCTGTGCTGAGAGTAACTGTTGAGGTGCAAGGACATGAGTCAGGAGACCAGCTGAGAGGCTGTTGAAATAATTCAGGCAAAAGATGATGGTGGCTTGAGCCCAGGTGGAAGCAGAAAAGGTGGTGGGACATGGTCACATAAAGTGCATGGTTTGAAGAAAGAGTAGGTGACACTTGCTGATGAATTTGATCTATGATAGAAGGAGGTAAGGGGGACAGCAAGGTTTTGTCTCTAAAAACAGAAAGGATGGAGCTGGCTTTTACTGAGATGGAGTCAGGAGTGGGGTCTTACACATGTTATATTTGAAAAGTCCATTAGATGTCTAGCAGTGATGTCAGGTAGGCAGCTGGATATAAAGTCTGGAATTTAGCAATGAGGAATCTGCTGGAGATATGCATTTGGAAATCATAAGTTTAGTGATGATATTTAAAGGCTTGTTATAAGATGAGAACACTAAAAAATGAGTATAAATGGAAAAGAGCAGTGTGAGATTAAGCGCTGAGACACTCCAGTGTGTAGAAATGAGCAAGATGAGGACTCAGCCATCTTGTTTAGTCTGTTTTCACCTGGATTATCAGTCTCAGACAGCTTCTCCCTTTGGGTGTGATAGAGCCACCGAAAATTCCCAGCTTTACATCCTATCCTGTTAACAACCTTAGTGAGAAGGGAGCACTTCTTGTCAAGTTGCTGAAGTGAAGTTATCAGGCTGAAGGTGGGATTTTGTTCAACTATTTTATTGAATGAACGTATCAATGAATGAATTGTTCAAGCCTCTGGACCCAGGTGCCCCTAAGGCTAGAACCCCTGGACATATCAATTATATCAATTATGTTGATTCATGTGCCCATCTCTGAACCAATCACTGAAGCCAATTAACAGACAGTGCTAACTGTCCAGGCCTGGGTCAGCCCATCCTAAATCTGGGGGTTTAGGTTCATCTTAACAAACCACATGAACTCAGAGTTATCAAGAAAAATCAGGATACTGTTACCAGAAAACAAGTGAATGGTTGTGGACAGTTGGGAACAACAAATGTTCATTACGAGTTTCCATGTGTTAGGGAGACTAAGAAATCTATAGCCAGCATAATACCATATGATAGGTATGATAGAGATACGCAGGGTAGGGCTGGAGCCTAAGGAAAGAAGGGGCATTTGATCTAAAGGGAACATAAGCAGGATTTCCCAGGGGAAGTGACATCTAAGCTGGCAGCAAGAGCAATTGAAATCCAGCAAGGTGGGTGGGGGTGTTATAAGAATAGAGAAACAACATGTTCAGTGGCTAGAAGAAAGCAGGCTCTATCTGGAAAATTGAAAGTAGAATGGAACATTTAATTTCTGCTAAACTACCTTCTAGGTAACTTGGAGACTGGGATAAACTTTGAAGGATTTGTTTGCTTGAGTGGCCACTATTGATTTGCAAAGTTTGCATCTTTACTCCTCATATGTTGCTCACCTTTTGTTCTGTTCCATGAAGGTGATGGTGCCAATGATGTTAGCATGATACAAGTGGCAGACATTGGGATAGGGATCTCAGGTCAAGAAGGCATGCAGGTGAGTGGATGCACACCCGAATACTGTGAGCTTGACCTGCCCATCCAAAGGTGACCATTCACCGGTAGAGTAAGGCTGTCTGTGGTTAGCTCAGGAGTGGGAGACAGGAAGCTTATCCATTTATTCATTGATTATTTACTGGGTGAGTATTGTGGTATTTTCCTGGGTAATTTGAGCTGTGTGGTTCACTTGTTCAGTTTAAGAAATATAGGTTATCTAGCACATAACAATATATATTTTTGGCCCTGCAATAGCTATGTGACTTTTACAATTGACAAAAGCTACTAAGGATTTGAATAAAAGACCTAAAGAGAGAGGGAGAGAGGAAAAAGATGTGAGAGAATGAGAGAGGTGGGAGTATCCTATTTGCACGTGTGTGTGTTGGATTGGGTTTTAGGCACAAATTCAGATAGCTTACCCAAAAGACTGCTTTTCGGGTCTGGAGCAAATGTTACAAGAAGGTGGGATGTGAGGCTTAGGATTTCCCAAGAATTGTAAATTATGACATCTGTACGAAAGATTAAAAATTCAAATATTTCTTTGCCTAAGCATTATACAAAGTTACATAAAATCATGACTGTAATACTTTCCATACGTTCCTCATTGAGGAGAAGTGAAGGCACATTGTAACGTGTAGAATTCTTGCTAAGGGAGCTGCTTTCTAGGGAAAGTACATTTGCTGAAATAACATCATGAGTAACCAGAGAGAAGCCTTGTTTCATTCAGCCATACTGGAAAGCTGAGTAGTAACCTCAGGCAACCCTTTAAGGCTCTTGTATTCCTGGGTTCTTGGTTGTTTGGGGTTTTGTGGTTTTTGTTTGTGTTTTGGATTTCATTTGTTTGTTTGTTTTGATCTACATGAAAGGTTTAAACCACCTGTTTGACAAATCTGAGCCTGATGATGGCCAGGCTGCCATGCTGGGTCTGCCCTACCATGTGATTGCTCAGGGTGGCGCCCTCTTGTCGTTGCCTCTGCAGGCTGTCATGGCCAGTGACTTCGCCGTCTCGCAGTTCAAACACCTCAGCAAGCTCCTCCTTGTCCACGGGCACTGGTGTTATACACGGCTTTCCAACATGATTCTCTACTTTTTCTACAAGAACGTGGTATGTAGCCCCAGAGAATGTGTCCTTCCCCGCCTTTCAATCCCGCTTGCTGAAGAGGTGCAGGGGAAGTGCCTGCACTAAACTCACTTCCCGTGTTGATGTTTTGGGGAGCAACCAGGGGCACTCCTGCTGTCTTACCAGAAATAATCTGGGAATGTGTTGTTTCAGCTGCTGACAGCAAATTGCCAGGCTTGTCCATCTGCTTAGTGTTTTCTATTCCCTATGCATTTAAATTCAGTTAAGGTCCTGTCTGGTTCATTTAAAATCCAATTTTTGACCTTCCCTATCAAGGTTATGACAAGCAGAATGATGACATGTTTAATACTACCTGTCAGGAGAGAATGAAAAGGTTTGCTTCCGTTTTACAGGAGATAACCAAAAAAATAGCTGCTGTCCCCAAATTGATGTCCCTTGTGTTATAGTGAAGATACAGATGAAAACCCAGCAGGATGCCTTAGCCTGTAGCTGGCTAGGATTTGCAGATGCAAGAATTCTCTAGCAAGTCTGTAAAATGTATTTATGCTTGGTAGTTATTTGAAGTTAAAGGAACTTTGTTTTGATGATGTAATTCCTAAAAGGGCAGAATTTGTTTAGACGTCATTGCTTCTAATCTTCGGCATACCATTTTAATTTCAGTTTCTTTTTTAAAAAAGATCATGTTGATCTTACTTGGATCACTTCACTTAAGTCCCTTCTAGGTGGGGTGATAATATAAATATGTCATGTTTTCTTGGACCAAATATGTCATGTTTTTTTAGTCTTTAAAGTCCATATGTAGCATGTTACTTGTAAACATAAATTTATATATTGAAACACGATCTTCAGGGAAAAGTAACTTCAGCGGGTCATTCTTAGGATATCCTAAAGGTGGAGTTTAGACCTCGTGGGCATGTGAGAGAGAGCCTTCAGCAGGAGCACTTTTTTCCCCTCAAGCAAAGTGAACTATTTAGGAAACTCTGGTATTTTACTTATCTGAATTAGTACATTTAGTGAAAGTTTAAAAAAACTTTGATGCTTTATGAAAATGCTAGAAATGTATAATGTTTCTGTCTGTGTGATTCTGGGGAAAGCTGAGATTTGTAATTTAAAATTACAGTGGTCAATGACTTTTAAAGAGGAGCCTCCTCCCAGGAATTTTTTTGTTTGTTGTTTTTTAATACCTTTGCATTTTTCTACCTCCTCTTCTGTTGTGAGACAGCTCACTCCCCTCCCACCTCCTTTTAACCCCAGATTAAACCCAAAGGTTAAGAATCACTAATATTAGAAAGAGGGCCATATGGCTCTTGGACAGAAGGAGTGTGTACTAGCATGGAGTACATCACCAGGGAGCAAGGACCCCACGGCCTTTCTGCTCTGTAACCTTTGCTGTCCATTCACACTGATATCCTGCCAGCTTGTTTTTCTTACTTATCCAGCCCAACAGTGAATGCTTTATAAACTATGGAGAAAAGGACCAGTACCAGAGCCATTTGATTAGCTTACTTGTCTAAGACTGTGGCTCCTGGGTCTTGGACAACCTTTCTGATACTGATGAGAACTGTGAATTCCCTCCGCAGAACAGTGCCCTAAAACATATGTACCCAAAACTGATAGATTTTCAGGAGCTGGGCATAATGTGTGTCCATGGACCCTAGACTAAGAAACTGTTCTAGGCATTGTGGCTCCTGTCCTAAGGCATTCTAATGTATCTGTGATACCAGCATTAACAGCATTTTAATATTCCTAAGGCACTTTATAGGTTATGAGCACTTTCTAACTTGATCTTGATACTCAACCTTGAGGTAGTATAATTTTCATCTTCCAGGCAAGGAAACCAAAATTCACAGAGATTAGGAAAATGGGCTAAAGTCAAACAATCAATAGGCAGTGTCCCCAGGTCTTGAAACAAGACGTCCTACATCTAAGTCCAGTGTCCTTGCCTCTGACCTGCCTTGCTTCAGACCACAGAGATTTTGCTGTCATGGACTTAGTTTGTTTTGGAGACAAACGCTGGAAGAAACAATGCAAGATATATGTTCCTGGCCTCTAGGGTGGGCAACTGTCTTGGTTTGCCTGGGACTGTCCTAGTTTTAGCAGTGAAGAGTCCCATGTCCTGGGAAACTCAGTCCCAAGCAAACTGGGATGGTTGGCTACCCTGCTGGCACCATCCCATTTCACCACTAAAAACTAATTGTGAACCCCGAAAGCAAGGGAATGAATATTTGTTGTGTGCCTGCTACATACCAGGCACGGGGCTAGGTTCTCTTCATCTAGAGCTAAAATGTCCCAAGTTGAATACCAGCTCTGCCACTTATCACTCAGGTAACTTTGGAAAAGTTTCTTAGCCTCTCTGTGCCTCAGTTTCTTCATCTGTACGATGGGAACAAGAATAATTCCCACATTGTTATGAAGATTAAACAAATTATTTGTAAAGCTCTTAGAATAATACCAGCACCACACAGTAAGGTGTGTGTGTCTGTGTATGTGTGTGTGTGTGTGTAGGTATGCATGTATGCATATATGTGCTTTAATTAAAAAAAACATTTATCAAAAGAAAAAATATGTGTGCAGTAGGATGTTCTGATCTTCCATTTTGTAAGTGAGAGAGCTGCGCTGACAGAGAGGCTGCAGTCACACAGCTCAAGATGGCAGCGTGTGTGGCATGTGCGGTCATAGCACGCATTGCTGTTTCTAAGATCAAATGTTCCTCTTTGTGTCCCTAGGCCTATGTGAACCTGCTTTTCTGGTACCAGTTCTTTTGTGGATTTTCAGGAACATCTATGACTGACTATTGGGTTTTGATCTTCTTCAACCTCCTTTTCACATCTGCCCCTCCCGTCATTTATGGTGTTTTGGAGAAAGATGTGTCTGCAGAGACCCTCATGCAACTGCCTGAACTTTACAAGAGTGGTCAGAAATCAGAGGTGGGTGCTAAAGCGAAAATACTGGACCAATTCATATTTATTGTCAAAGTCAGGGCATTTTCCAGTCAGTCCAGCTCAAATACTCTGGTACATTCAGAACTATTTAAAACTATTTGAATTGTCTGGTTGTTTCAAAAGATCTCTACTAACATGGCAGATATCAAGTTGTTCACTCCTGAGATGACCACAGGTAAAACTATGAAAGACCATAAGTGTTTATATGAAGAAGTCCACTGTTTAGACCTTACAACTAATAATGTTTAGTATTTATTAAACCCCATTTTGCCATCTGTTGTGCAGACTACTAAATCTCTCTCTATCCTCACAAAATACTGTGAGAGAGAACCTAGTATCGTTCCCATTCTAAGATGAAAAATCTGGACTTCAAAGGGGTTAAGTAATTTTTCCAAAAATCTCACAGCTAAAAAATGGCAGAGTCAGTGCCAGAACGCTTCTCAGCTTGGCTCCAAAGCCAAAGTTAAATCCCTCAGGCTGTACTGTCAGGCAAAACAATAGAGTGATCTTAATGGCTCCCTCCCCCTAAAACCATGCCCCACCTCCACTGTATTGATCTCTTAATCCTATCAATCTACCACCGATATATCACTTGTGTCTGCCCTCCCCTTTCCATCCTTCTCTCACTGCCCTCATTGTCTCCCTAGAGTATTGTAGTAACTAATTAATTGAGCTAGCTGTCTCAAAATCCTTTTCCTTCTAATTCATCTTTCACAAAATTAATAATAACCAACATTAATATAGCACTCATGAGCATTTATGTAATGCCTCCTATATGGCTGGCACTGTTTTAAGTGCGTAACATACATAAATCTAATCCTCAGAATGACCCTGCAAGATAGATGCCATCATTACTCACATTGTAGATGGGGAAAGTCAGGCACAGGAAGGTACCTTAAGTAATCTGCCCACATCCCAGAGCTAGTGTATATGGTGCAGGTGACCCAGGCTCCTCAGCCCATGGTGTCTGCCATTAATGCTTTGCTGAAGAAAGAATACTGTTGCAATCTCTAGTCTTTTTCCATTGGGAAAAGAAGGATAAAGGAGGGACCTTCAAAGTTTTTATAGCTGGTGTTTTAAAAGCCCGTTTGTGCCAGCTGAAGCTTGTAATTGGTCCTTATCCTTAGAGAAGTTGAGGTCATTGTTTCCTATTGTTGAATCCTGTTGTCAGTCCTTTGTAAAAGTTATTCTATTGATCCAGCCAGTTTTATAATACATGTAATAAGAAGATTTCCAGCATGCAACTATTGATAAAACGTAATTGACTTTACCTTCCAGAGGGTTTTTCTTTCTTTGAACTTTGGCCTCCAAGAAAATTCTATTTTATGTTGCGCCATTTCCTGTCGTCAGTGTCATGAAATACACTGTCCAGGGTTATAGAGTCTCTCCTTGAAAGGAGATGGATCTGGAAGGCTGCAGTCAAAAGACACTTCCCTTCCAAGAAGGAATCATCTATTACTCACCTCTCATAACCCACACAGTCTTCTTTTCTGGCTTTGACTTCATGTCCAAATTTTCCCTTTCAGTTTCCAGGAGATCCCATGAGTTACTCTCTTCAGCCTCTCATTTATCTTATCTGTGACTCTTCTCTCTCTACTTCCCTACGTCCTCTTATTCACATGACTGTGGAGAAATTGTATTTTGTACCTTTTTGACCTAGGATTTTTGAGCAACCTCTGTTCCCCCAGAAGCATGAAGTTATATTTTAACTTCTCCCCAAATTGTTCTCTCATGTCCAGTGGCATTTTGGTTGCCCCTTTGATGCTGCTACATTCTCTTCCACCATCTTTTATTGTGCTTCTTAGATTTTATGGACACATGGATGAAGAAATACAGGTAGAATAGTCCATCATTTCCAATGAGGAAATAGTAAAACAAGATACAGGGAAAAGTAGGCTGGAAATAATGAATCTTCATTGTTTGATTTTCCAGAAGACAAAGAGATTAGAAAGAATAAATATAGAAATTCCAAGTGTAGTCTTTTGAAGAATGGAAGAAAGTATGTGGAGAATTTGTATATTTATAAAGCTTTGTTCTTTAGGAGCTAATTAGACATTTTCAAGGAAATTTCAGCCTCTTTTTGCATTTGGAAGGAAATACGACTAAACACGTGCTAAGAAAAAAAAAAACGACTAGGTCAGCAATATGGTATATGTGTTACCGTTTTTGTCCATGGCAGAAATCATTAATAAACCATAGCACTCTATCCTTCCCACTGGATCTGAATGTGGCCTCAAAATTCTGCACACACATTACCATTCAATCAGAGTTGGCTCCTGTTTGAAAACCTGTTTTCAGTCACTTGACTAATGTCTCTATTTGATCTTTTCATAAGCTTTTGGTAGGAGGCAGTTTAGCACATATATAAGAGTAGTTTATTAATTTAACAAATATTTGTTGCGTACCTGCTATGTGACCAAGCACTGTTTTATTGACTTTGAGTAAAAGAATCAAAGTCCTACTCTATATTGCTCACGTTCTGTTGAGAGAACTGGAAAATCATTAGGTAAACAAGTAAGATTATTGTTGATGATGATGAGAGACTTCTAAGGATGCCATGGTAATAAATGATTGAGTGGGCATTACTGTTAGACTGATCTGGGGCAGCCTCTATGAAGAAGTGGTACTTAAGCTAGGATATGAAGACTGAAGAACTGGTTATGTGGAAGGTCCAGGGCAAAGATTTCTGGCAGAGAGAACAGAGCAGGTGAAGAAGCCTCAAGGGAATAATGGATTTGGCATGTTTGAGGGATAGAATGATGTCTGTGGTGGGAGCATGGTGAATGAGGGTAAGACCATGCTGGACCTTACAGGCCATGGTTAGGAACTTAAATTATATTGGGAATGGGATATAGTGGAAATGGGATATAGTGGGAGGTCATTGAAGGGGGTCAATTTGATTAATTAGGGAGATGGCATGATCTGATTAACAGTTTTTAAAAACCATCTGGTTGCTATGGGAAGATTGGATTAAGGGTTAGAGGGGAAGCAAAGAGACCAGATAGGTGGCCATCCAGTCATTCACAGAAGGAGTTGGCGGTGAATTGGAATGGAGTAGTGGAGATAGAAGTGGATGGATTGGGAAAAGTTTTTGCAAGAGTATTTTCTGATAAATCAAGGGTGGAAAGTTAGTACTACTCTCCCTATTTAAGGTAGATTTAAGATAGATCCAATATGAGTTGAAGAAGAATTTCATCACCAATTTTTTTCACCTGTGAACTCATGTCATTGTACTATCACTACCACCATGTACAAATCCCGCCTCTTTTGTGAGTGAGAGAATAAAGGAATATAATTTTATCTCAGAGAGGCAAAAATAAGTACTGGCTTGTGTTGTTCTTTGCTTTTTGCTCTGACCCTGACTAATCTTCCTCCCCAATATCTGTTTCATTTTCAGGCCTACTTACCTCTCACCTTCTGGGTCACCTTGTTGGATGCCTTTTATCAAAGCCTGGCCTGCTTCTTTGTGCCTTACTATGTGAGTCCTTGTTCACTCAAAGGATTTGCTATTAATGAATCATTAATGATGCTTCTTTGTACTTGGTTGCTGGCATTAGCACATAGAATGGGTATATTAGGGTTCATTGTTCATATAATTAAGTTGATTATTAACTGACTAAATTATACCCCACCAAAAAGAAGTGGTAGGTAATAGATTCAATTTGGAAAGACGTGCCGAGTTGAGTCCTCTTAAGTCTCCTTTTAATCCTGGACTGCTTGATAATTTTCATCAATGACTTAAATAAAATTGAAAGTCACAATATAATTAGATGAGCCAACATCAGAGAGACAAAATCAGAATACAGAGTCTATTATTAGCGAGTGCTGGGCTAATTCTACCAGGATGACATTCAGAGTATTAAATTTAAGCTCTTGTAAGTAGTCTCCTCAAAACTAAAAAACCTGATTTACAGGTAAAGAATGGAAAGAATAACTCAGCAAAGAATGTGTAAGAATTAATTAAAAACTTTAAACCAATATGAAGCACAAAGCAGCATGATATAGCTCCACACACACCCTTCCTTGGATGAAGACACTAGTTTGATTGTGGGTGATGTCAACAAAAGTACAGTATGAAGAACGAAAAAGATAATAGTCTCTAAGTTAACAATTCCTGTTCTTTAGTTCTTTATTCAAATGAAATGACTTGAATTTTCCCAGCTAGTTTATTCTGTACATTTCAAGAGGAATATAGATAGGGCAATCTGAAGTATATTCAGAAAAGAATGACAAGAATTTTAAACAATCAGAAAATTATATTTTTTGAAGAATACTTTAAGGAGTTGAAAATATACACATAGGAGAGGAGGGGATATTAACTTAGCAGAGATATAAACTCAGGTTAGCCATAGTAGCTGCTTCAAAAGTTTGCAGCTCTGTTAAATGGGACATATTTGATATTTTGCTATACCTTAAAGAACTAGAAGTATGAGTAAAAGTTTCCGAGAAGATGCATTTATGATTCAGAATAAAGAGGAATTCCAACTGGAAAGTTCAAAGATGAGATGGCCTATCCGGGAAAGAGTCAGTCTCTCTTTTCTAGAAATGTTCAAGTTTATCCGAAATGACCAGTTATTAGAACATTGGAAAAGGGACTCAGTGCTCAGCTGAGCTGTAGAATAAAGTCACGATACACGTACCACTGAGTGTGCACCAGTCTCCAAGATCACTTCCTGTTGTCCTCTCTTTGTAGACCTACCAGGGCTCAGACATCGACATCTTTACATTTGGAAACCCCTTGAACACAGCTGCTCTCTTCATCATTCTCCTGCATCTGGTAATTGAAAGCAAGAGTTTGGTGAGTGGTTTTTCTGCTTCTGAAGAAAAGAGCCGGGAGCTCTTGGTGCTTGGGGAAGTGTCTTCTATTAGCAGTGACCCCGCGAAGCCCTTCATGTCTCGAAGACAACAGGCAATGAGAAGAGTGTTGACTCCATAGAGGAAGGGTGATTCATGGCTACTCCTACTGATTGTTGAGTGCCATGATGCTGAAGTTCATGTGCAGTCAGGGAAAGTGGAAAACAACTGCCTGGTCCCCTTGTGGTGTCCGTGGTGGATAATTCATGGAGGGGTGAGTCAGGCAGAAGAAACAATTACTCTTCTATTGTCAGCATTCTTCAGAACCAAGCTGATGCCTTTCAACTAAAATAAAAATAGGTATTATGCCAGAATCCTGGTATACTGACTTTAGTAAGTGATGATTTTATGCCTTTCTCATGATAAAAGAAAAATTACCTTTTTCTCCCTCCAGAATTTCTACCACTAAGTCTTTTCACCAAAATGATTGCAAGGTAGCTAATGTGTAGGATTCAGGTAATGAGAGCTTTACGGTAAACCTTCCTTTGCAGATGAAGCACATCCCACCCACCTCTGGAGAATAAACTACTTCTGTGATTATTCATGCTGCTCATTCATTGATGTGGGCATTGTCTCTCCTATAGTCAAAGTCACTGTCGTCTCTTCCTGGACTATTGATTGCTGCAATCTCTTTCGTCTTCCCACCTCTGCCCTTGACTCCTCCAGCTCTTCTCTACAAAACAACCAGAAGCATCCTTTTGAAACATAAATCAGGTCTTTTTGCTCTCCTTTTGGTAAAATCGCTCCATGGTTTTCCCTTGTACTTGGAATAAAATCTAAAAGCTCTAAGATGGCCTATAAGGAAAGCTCCATGCGGTGACGCCTCCACTCCTGCCTCCAGCCTCATTTCCATTTATTCCTGGGCTGGAACCACACTGTCTCTTTTTTACTTTCTCAGCTACACTGAGCTCGTTACCATCAGGGCCTTAGCATTTATCATGTCTTCTGATTGGAATGTTCCTCATTCCCTCTTGAATTCCTATTCTTTACTCAGGTCATATGTTATTTTAGGTCTCAAAATAACAAAAATGCTACTTCCCCCAAGAGCCCTTCCCTAGCCATCCATTTTCTCATACCATCCTCTTGTTTTTATTCATAGCTCTAATAACCATTTATAATTATTTAATTATGTTATTATATGTTTGAGGCTTCTCTTCTGCATTAGACTGTTATCTCTTTGAGAGCAGGGTTCATGTTTAGTTTTTCTACCACTGTATACCATTTCTAGGACAAGATTGGCACATGGTAGATGCTCAAAAAAATATTTGAATAGATAAATGAATGATTAAATTACTAACCAGCATTTGAGGTATATATACCATCCTGGTAGTGATGCGATTCAAACAGGAAACAGCTGAATGAGGTTATATTTTAAAACATTGTATGAGGTTATATTACAAAATCATTTATAATAATTTCTGAAGTGCCTGAATATTTTCGGCATCCCTTGCTTTGCTTATAACCTGCTATAACTAAACCTTACAAGCCTAAAGTGTAGTGAAAGGTAATATCTGCAAATACCAGGTGAGGCGAATAAAGGGAATTCTAGAACTAAAATATTTGTCATTGTTTTAATATCTATTTAAGTTCATTATTAAGAAGTTGTGTAAGTACTTTTTGTTACTGCCTAAGGAAGCGTCATAAAATCTGACATTTATGAGTGTGCCAAAGGATCTAACACTTAAAGTGTGTCAGTTTGAGTTCACTGGTAATGAGCAACAGCAATCTGTTCTGACTAACCTGAGCAAAAAGAAAAGTTGTTAAAAATATATTAAGAGCCGTGGTAAAACAAAACAAGACAAAACAAAACCATCCCAAAGAACCAGAGTGGTTCCTGAGATCCAGGGAACAGAAACTAGTGGACAGGCTTGTCAGGATGGCACTCTGTTCTAAACTGTCTCCAATCGTTTTCTTTCTGCTCTTGCCTCATTGTGCTCCAAATTTAGTCCGTGATGACAGAATTATATTTCCTTAGCTCCAGGCATAGGCTTTGGCAAAGGAGGAATATTTTGCCAAGACTATGCATAATGCCAGGTGTCCTCACCCAGAAGAGGGGGAGTGAGTGAAAGCTAAGTGCCAAGAAAAACAGTGGCTGTTATATAAAGGATGCATCGTTAAAGAATTATGTCACATGCCAGAAAGAAATAATTCTTTAATGATTGTTTCTTGGAGTGAGAAACAATTGCTTCTCATGCTCACGGCCTCTGAAGGTCCCTTGTCAAGTAAGAGTCCGCCATTTTGAGAATGTGAATTGGCTTCCCTTCACCTCTTACCATCCCATTGCCACCTCCCACATCCCCACTGGTTTTGACCCAGTTTCCCTTGGCTTTAACTTCCTTGTATCAATTCATTCAATGTCTCCACCAAGGCACTGTCTCACTTGTTGAAAACACGCCTTAAGGGGAAAAGTTTCCATGGAAAGGAAGGCCATTTGAGAAAGAAAGAAAAAGACATCATTGTTTTAGAGGCATGATGATCTTAAGGATTTAGCCCACATTTTCTGAGCAGTTTGTACATTAAAAAAAAAAGATCGAGTCCCGACCCAAGCTGAGCAGCCACTGAGCTGCCAACATACGGCAGGATGGCTCAGCTAAAAAACTAACAACAACAAAAAATCATTCTTAAAAGGTGCCATTAATTTAAAAAAATAACAATAATAATAATAAGAAGAAGAAGAAGCAGTCTCTGTGACTCTTGTCAAGATATCTACCATGGGGAAATAATTTGCAAGGTTAAGTGGGAAGAAAATTGGATCTTGTTGAAAAGTATAAACTTAGGGGGAAAAAAAACAAAAACCCCAGATTGATAAAGGCACTGCTTCCCCAAAAGTATAACATACGGCACCATGGTATATACTATGATTTTGGTAGTACTATACACTGCACTAAACAACACTAAACACTACATAATATAAAGGTGATTCTCCGGTCATACTTTGGATTATGTCAAAGAAGAAGTCTGTTCGGGGCTATTATGTTTTATCACAGCAGCTCTTGCTAATTTCCCTTTATAGACCAGGCTCCCGACTCAGCACTTTTATGACCGGTAATGCTGATGTTACCTTTAAGGTAATAATCTTGCCTTTGTTTTTTTCTTCTTCTAAATAAAGTTACTTAATTAAATAGTGAGCCAGCTTAAAGAAAAATATTAGGAAAAATTATATTGTACACTACATGGACATGAAGGTGGCTAGGTTATCCTGTGATTCAGAGATTTATTTCTTACATATATAAATGAACAATTCTAGAGCAATTGTCCTGAGGGGCAGGTAAATGACTCAGGCTTTGTCTTGTGGCTGTAGCATCTGGAATTGGCCCAAAGGGAACTTATTGGTCAACATGGGAGGAAAGGAGACAGCATAGAAAATTGTACACCAGCTCTTCCCTGCTTCTAACCTGAAAGATTTGCTTATCTCTTCCATTCATATTTTAGTGGTCAAAGCAAGACATGTGGCCATGCTTACTTTCTAGAGAAAAGGAAAGTACAATCTTCCCACATGCTTAGTAGGGGAAAGCAATAAAAACATTGGTGAGCAACAGAAATGTCTGCCACCTGTGCGAATGGATCAATTTTGAGGTTCACTGGATTAAGTAAGGTATGATCTTAATGAAGAAACAGACCAATGAATGACTACAGGGAAAAAAAAAATTTAAGGAGAAAATCCAAGCACCTCATGGTTCATGGACAATACAGAATAAACTAGTCATCAGAATTACCTTTTGGCATTTGACCTAGTTTTACAAAATTTAAACAGGAATATGAGCTATTCATGAAAGATGCTGTCGTTTTAGCTCTTCAGTATTTTGTGTTTTGTTCGCTGAAGTGTTTACACTGTTCGCCCATTGCTTAGACATGTCTCTTCAACACAGCAGGTTTTGCCAGGCTGCAAACCCTATGAGTGAGAGTCCTCCTTTCTTCACCTTATGTCTTGCAGACTTGGATCCACATTCTGGTCATCGTTGGTAGCATCTTGTCTTATGTTTTCTTCACCTTGGCGTTTGGAGCCATGTGTGTGACTTGCAACCCGCCGTCCAACCCCTACTGGATCATGCAAGAGCACATGCTGGATCCGGTGTTCTACTTAGTTTGTGTCCTCACAACCTTCGTTGCTCTTCTGCCCAGGTATAGTATTTGTTTTATCAAGTGAAGTCATAGGCTTAGAATTTGCCAAGTGAATACTAAGACTGGATGGCAGACCACCCTGTTTAGTAGTCAGCCTGTGTACTAGTTAAATATTGGTTTTGGCTATTTTACACGAGAACGGAAGATTTATTTGTCTCTCATGGAAAACTAATCTGGTTGATAGTCCACAGGGATAGGGCAGCTTTGCTTCTTGAGGCTATCCCATGGCCTAGATCCTTTCCTCCATCTTTTTGCTCTGTCATCTCCCAAGGGCGTTGCCCTCATCTGCATGATTGAAGGTCACTCACTATCAGCACATCTGCGTCCCTACCTGCAGGCGGGAGAAAGAGAAAATGGAGGGCAGGCAGCTTTTCTCTCTCTTAGCGTTTCCTTTCTTTCTCTTTCTCTTTCTCTCTTTCTTTTTCCTTTGATAGTAGCATAACCCAGAAGTTGCACACATTATTTTTCATATCCCATTAACTAGAACCTCGGTCTGTAGACTCTTGAGTGGCTGCAATGTGGAAATTTCTAAAAGGAAGAAGGGAGAGAATGAATGGGTACTGAGGGACAAGTACCAGTCTCTACTACAATCTGTGAACACTTTAAACTCTACAACTTCACTCCCTTATCTGGCCTTAGTTATCCTTCCCATTTTAATTAACTTGATTTCTCATATGGCATGGGATGGAAATGGCTAAGAAGTATGCATGGGTTTTTAATTTATAGATTCTTTAAGCTCTGTTAGAGCTCTTCCTCTTTGTAGTTTTATAAAACCTGTTTAGTTGAAAACACTATAGCAAATAGTTGTTCTAGCTCTTTAAACATGATATGAGAGTCAAAATGGTGATTTCTTATTACTCTCTAACAGGGTTGGCAAACTGCGGCTCACAGGCCAAATCTGGCCTGCTGCCTATTTTTGTAAATAAAGTTTTATTGTAACACAGCAATACTCATTAATTATGTGTTGTTTATGGGTGCTTTTGCTCTACAACAGCCGAGTTGAACAGTTCCAACAGATACTCTCTTGCTTGTAAAGCCCGAAATATTACTATACCTGGTCCATTGGGAAATATCTTTGCTAATCCCAATCTGTAACACCATCATAAAGCACAGCGGGTACAAACCTTTGCTGCTAATGCATATCCCTTCTACAAATGCATAAGAAAACCCCACCAGAGTCATTCTATTGGGTTGTCAGAAAAATCATGATGTATTTTTTCTATGTTTTTCATTGCAAAAATGCATCATGACTTTTCCGACAACCCAATATGTTGGTTATAATTGTATGCTTAACTATATCACTGTTAAACTGAGATGCTTCTGTAGGGTTCACTGTTATTACCAGCTATCAGCTGGTTATTACCAGCTGGCAAGATGAACTTGTAGAATTCATGAAGAAACATTAGAATTATAGCCCTGAAAATTTCCTTCAAGAGTAGTAACTGTACAATTCTATCTAATATTGTTGTGGTAGGCTGAAAAATGACCCCCTAAAAGATATCCATGTCCTAATCCCTGGAACCTATGAATGTTACCTTATATAGCCAAAAATGAAAAGACTTTGCAGATGTGATTAAGTTCAGGATCTTGAGATGGGAGATTATCCTGTATTAACTGGGTGGACCTTAAATAGAATGACAAGTGTCCTTATAAGAGAGTGGCAGAAGGAGATTTGACACAAACAAGAGAGGAAGGCATTGTGACCACGGAGGCAGAGTTTCCTTGGCCATAAACCAAGGAATGCTGATAACCAGGAGCTGGAAGGGGCGAGGAGTGGATTCTCCTCTAAAGCCTCCAGAGGGAGCCGGGCCTTCTAAAACCTTCATTTTGACCCAAATGAAACTGATTTCAGAATCCTTGTCCTCCAGAACTATGAAAGAATGCAATTTTGTTGTTTTAAGCCAAACAATTTTGTTGTTTTAAGTTTGTGATAATTTGTTACAGAAGCCATAGGAAACAATGATAGGTTTTGGTATCAGGAAGATGGATGCTGCTATAACAAATACCTACAAATGTAGAAGTGGCTTGAAATTTGGGTAATGGGCAGAGGCTGGAAGACTTTTGAGGCACATCATAGAAAAATACTGGACTCCCTTAAACAGACTGTAGGTAGAAACATGGGCATTAAAATTCCTGCTGGTGAGGATTCAGAAGTAAGTAAGAAGCAGGGTAGAGAAAGCCTGTATCATCTTAGAAAATACATATGCATCGCATGTTATCATAAACAGAATATTGCTAGAAATGTGAAAGTTAAAACTCAAAAGGGGCTGAGAAACATACTATTGGAAATTGAAGATTAGTGGATCTTTGCAATACAGTGGCAGAGAATTTAAAAACACTAGTTTTTAATGTTTTGTGGAAAGTAGTGATGTGGAAAGCAGAGTTTGTAAATGATGAACTTGGTTATTTAGCTGAGGAGATTTCCAAGCAAGATGTTGCAAGTTCAGCCTGGTTTCTTCTTGTTTATAGTAAAATTTGAGAGAAAAGAGATGAGGAAAGAACTGTTAAGCCAAAGGGACTAGATTTAGGAAATCCTCAGCTTATCCAGATTTCAAAAGTTGCTAAAATTAGGAGATTGACTGTTGGGAGTCTGCTCTAGAGAGAAGGCCAAGAGTGTGGCTGGACAACCTTTTGCTGGTGTTTGAGAAGAGGCGTGTGGCTCACGGATCCTCTCAACCATCTCTGCAGCCACCAGGAGAGGAGATGGGGTTATACAGGAAAGATCTGGCGGGGACCCTCTTATCTAATGGCGTAAGTGGCATACATTGGTGACTCACAAGGTTTTTGAGAATGCTGTAACAGCATAAACACGACAAGCTTCAGGACAAATGTGTGGTAATTTGTGATAGTAGCAATAGGACATTAATAGCTAGTATTTTTTGAATACTTACTATGTGCCAACACTCTGCCTGCTTGACATGTACTTTCTTATTTAACCTAACATTATGCCTATGATGTAGCACTTTTGGTGTCTCTACTGTTACAGATTTTATGTATTATTTACTTAACAAGCATTTATAGGACACTTGCTATTTCTTAAGTGCTTTATAAATGTCAACTTATTTAATATTGTCATCTCCATTTTATATTTTGCTTATCCTCCCCCTTTACCTCAGGGAGTCAAATGGCTGCTAGAGCCTTTTACTTTTTCTAATTGGTGAGTATTTTTTGTGTCCCATGATGCACGTGAGGTGAATGTAATCCCATGATGCTTTTTTGTAACCTAGGTTTATGTACCGAGTTCTTCAGGGATCCCTGTTTCCGTCTCCAATTCTGAGGGCTAAGCACTTTGACAGGCTAACTTCAGAGGAGAGGATTGAAGCCCTCAAGAAGTGGAGAGGAACTGGAAGGATGGGTCAAGTGACAACTAAGTGTGCTGACCACTCAGCTGCCAAGTCAGCGAGAAGACCCATGTCTGGCCCTTCTGATGTCTTTGCAATGATGTCAGCAACTTCTTGTGCTGTTGAGCAGGGAAACTTAACTATATGTGAAACTGTGTTAGACTCAGACTACTCTGAAACTAAGACCTCAAAGTGTTAAAAGAGCAGGATACCCTCTTTGCAGTTTTAAGTATTCAAGTTAGGAAGAGAGACTTTGAAGAAGCACCTTTACCAAGTAAGAATGACTTGAATTTTTCCTTAAAGGACATGAACATTTTACTTGGCTTGGAAAAGTTAATGAGATAACTTTCATTGTATGTTTGTAGATACATTTGTAAAAGAAGATAGAATTTGACCTGGACAGAGTGTGGGGACGTGAAATATGTAATTAATCAAATGCTTTTATGAAACTTTTTGGATTTTGTAAAAGCATTTTAATTGTCTTAGATATATAAACATTTTCAAGGGAATTCATTTGAGATATATTTATTGTACTGTGAGATCTCAGATTCCAGAGAAATGCTTTAAGTGAGCAGACTTCAGTCTGATTTTTTATTTTTATTAAGAAAAAAAACCCTAGTTTTAGATTGATCAGTTAGACTCTGAGAGATTTCAACGTGGAAAAAAAAATGTTACAAATTGTTAATTTCCAGAGAAAAATATCCCAAGAGCCTTGTACACAAGGTAACTAAAACAGGACATATAGTTAGTGATTAATAGCTTTTTTTTTTTAACCAATTGAGCCACTCCACTCGGCCAGCCCAATAGCTTTTCATTTCCTATGGAAGATGCCTTTGGTCTTCTGACAGAAGATGTTAGGCATACCTCTCTGCTCATTTCACTTGTTCTTCTGAGGTGGAGCCTTCATTGGGAAGGGGCAGGGGAATGTCAGGGTTCCCTCAGGTAATGGGGAAGTGTTCCTTTCTCAGCTGCCAGTCAAAGAACTCCCTTTCTTGACGTCTGCTTCTGTGCGGGTGTTAATTGGGCACAAAGGCCATGGCTAAGACAAGTAGAATCAGCTGAGCCTAGAGCCCTTTAACAATTTCCTGTACTCAGAAGAACCTGCTCAGAATGAGACAATCAATTTCAAAACAATCTTCAGGAAACCACTTGAGGATTTCATAATCTTTATGATACCATTCAACTTTTCTGCTGTTATAACCTCTAAAAATGAGATATTATAAGTTGAGACTACCACAGGTGGTTTTTACATGGATTCTATGAGGTTCTTAGAAAAATTTGTTTTTTAAAATATATTTTTGGACAAGAATGTCGATAGCAGGTTAATGGCTATTGCAAATCATGTATGCTGGCTTTAGTTGGAACAAAGAAACTGGTTTATAGCAAGTAAGGCCAGGTGTTATTATAAAGTGAGTATGCATTCTGGTTGAGCTCTTTTAAGATTCTATATCTGTTCCATCTGAAAACTGTCAACCAGCTATCACCCAGAATTTCCTTCATGAAACCTCCATGCTGATGTTCCGTGTCTATATCAAAATTGTTATATATTATAATCAAGAATGACAATTAAACAGTTACTCAGGGCTTAATCTTCTACCTGCGGCTTACTGTCCTGGTCTGACATTTTTTGTAGCCTTCTGATATTATTGCAAATCGTCTTTTCTTTTCTTTTCTTTTCTTTTTTTTTTTGGCAAATCGTCTTTTATACAGACCCATTTCCAGAACTTTCAAAATCCTACATGGCTAATGGAAGTGTTTTCTGCTTCCTTATGTTTTTTGGTTTGTTTTTTTTTAAATAAATCGTTTAATAAATTGTGTGTACTGAAAACCTTTCATCACTCCTGTAGACACTCACTGAATCCAACTGTAATTGGTATCAAAACTTAGAAGGAAAATCCCAAAGTACAACTTTTACCTAGAATATTGTTTTGGATTATTCATATATGGAAAAATCAGTGATGTCATATCATCTGTTATCCTCACAGGAGCTGACATTCCCTGAGATCATTATCTGATAAATAAAAATTTAGAGATATATTCACTAGTAAATAAGGAGTTAGAATCTAAGGATAAAAAAAAAATGAGACAGGGGTGACTGGTTAGCTCAATTGGTTAGAGTGTGGTGCTGATAATGAAACCGGAGGCCAAACAAACGAGTCCAGGGCTTGTGCTGCCTGCACTGCTCAGCCAATAGACCGACACAGGAGTTGGGTCATAGAATAAGCGTTTATTATCAGAGCACTGGTGGTCTGAGAAGGCAGCCGGCTAACACCTCCAAAAACTTCCCTAACATTCTCAGATCAGCCTGGGATATTTAAAGGAAAATCTGGGCATTCCTCCAGAGGCTACATGATGGTTCCTGAAGGTTCCAGGGGTCTGCATGGAGCCTTCCCTCAGGCGATGTGGCTCTCCAATGTGGTCATCAACCCAGGAGCAAGGGTGACAGTAACCTGGAAAGAATGCTAGGCTGTAGAGATTGTGATCATAAGCAAGGGTATTGTGATCACGAGCAAGCACAAGTTTCAGGGTAATTATCTAAAGCAGAGAACTGGACACGGGATATTCCAAACTCAGGAACTGGGACAGGGGACATTCCAAGCTCAAATCACAGGGAGGGGGTTGATCAATTGTTAAGCTCTAGAGCAGGGAGACGCGAGGCCAGGGACATTGCAAGGCCTCTTTTGTGGGGGTCCCAACCGGGCCCTGTTTCAATTCCCCCCTGTCTTATGTTCATTTTATTTCTATAAAATCAGTAAGGTTAGATTAGAGAGGAAACAAAATAACTATATTAAGACAATTTTTAAATCCAGGGATATGAGCTATTAGGCATGGCCAGAGGAATGAGTCACAGGAGACCAAAATTGGTCTACTAGAATTATTTGGCACCTTTGAGCTGCAGGAATCAGACTCAGGTGTTCCTGGTTATAAGTGGATTAGGAGATGGGTGGAGTCCCCTTTTCCCTGAACTGTCAGTTTAGTTCCCTTTTTTTCTTTTTTTAGAGTTTATTATAAAGGCTTATACATAAGAAATTTCATCCTATTTCCAAAACCTCTAACAGAACAATTCCAGTTGCAAAGTAGTATAATAATTTAATGAACTATAGAGCAACCAGCGCCCTCCAGAGTCTAATATATACATTGACCAAGCAGAATATTAATTTCTTTTTGGTTAACGACTCATAGCCATAGTCTTGTTAATGGCCTAATACTTTGCCCAGTGGGCTTCCAGCAGGGATTGAAACCTTAGATCCCATTTTTGAGCTTGAATAAATACAGCTGCACCTGACTCTCTCTCTCTCTCTCTCTCTCTCTCTCTCTCTCTCTCTCTCTCTCACACACACACACACACACACACACACACACAGAATCAAGTATTCCCTGAATCAGACAAAACCAGAAGACCTAACTTCTTATCTGAATACCAAAATCAAAACTGAAGGGAAGGGGGCTCGCCGAGTGGCACGATGGTTAAGAACTGGCTTGGGACGCCAGAGGGCCCCGGTTCAGATCCCACATATGAGGGCCAGTGACACT